CTGTCCCTCTGTCGGTCAGTTGAAATCACGATACAGTCCACATTATTTGACGTAGAGCGTCAGAACAATTTGTATTGTGCCTAGGATAGTTGGTACTGAAAATGAGACATATCGGTCCACGTTTTGGTATAGTCCCCATATAACAGTACCTCCCGATATTCGGTATTTTTTTGATTTTTTGCAAATGTTTTCACGGATTTGTATTTGTAGGTCATAATAGATTCTTCTTCATGTGGCGAAACATTGTATGTACAGGTCCACGTTTTGGTATAGCTCCCATGTAACGGTACCTCCCGATATTCGGTATTTTGATGATCTGTGCCACATTTGTTTACGGATTTGTCTAAAAATATGTATTTGTAGGTTATAATAGGTTCTAGCTTGTGTGGCGAAACATTGTATATACAGGTCCACGTTTTGGTATAGCCCCCATACAAGTGTATCTCCCGATATTCGGTATTTTGATGATTTTTGCAACATTTTTTCATATTAACACGTGAATACAATTCGATATTCTTGGAATATAATATGGGCTTATAAAGAATTTATAGCTCCTCGAAGGGACCAAAACTTCGAAGATTTTTCATGAACTTATTTCAAAAATTAATACAAATGTAAGTTTCCTAAAGATCCCAAATTGAGGATATTTTCAAGATCTTTAATCTTTCACATAAAAAATTGGTAATACTTTTTCAAAGAGTGTATTGACCTTTATCAAGTATTAAAATATTCGATTTAAATAACTTTTTGAGCTCCCTTAAGGTTAATGAACTTGATATCGAAAATACCTTAAATAACGAAAATTTGGCGTCATACTACAAGATTTTTAAATATTATTGCGATATTTTTCAAATCGAATATGCCTTTATTTTGCATTTTATGCAAGGTTATGGCATCATGTGAATGAACCTTCCAACCATCAGAAATTAATGCAAATCTGGCAGTCCCGCATTGTTGTTAAAACCAAATTTTTCCAGCGGTAATAAAAACTACAATTTTTTGTTTTCCTACCCAATTCGTGACGTCAGAAATGGCAATATTGTGATAATTTTATTTAGATAATAACAACATCAATCTAAATGAGAGCGAATGTCGACTGTCTGATAAGGTGCTAAAGATAGCCGGCCGGCTGTTATCCATCCTACCCTTTAAACGCTGCCAACGCTTAAGAGGCAAATGTAGAACGAATGCTTTAGTGGAGAATAGAATTTTTTATCTCTTTGTTGAGAAACAGTAAAACACAACAATAAATTTAAATTATTGTTTTAAATGAAAAAAAAAAAAAACGTACACCAACAACAACAAAAGCAATAACAAAATAATTATTATTTTAAATGAGACCTCTTGGTGAAATGAGAATTGCACAATTTTTCAATACCAAAGAGTCAGTAGATTGGGCGCACTTGAGTATGACAGTCGTTGTATTGTTGACGGTATTGCGGGTTTTCGGAAAAAAATATAACGTGCGTTGTTATTGAAAAACGATTCCATTGTAACGGTCGATGGAATTTCAAAATATTCAATCAAAGCAAGGATTCAATTTTTGGTTCGTGTGTGTGTGGGAAATTCAATTAAAAAGTCATGGAATGGACTTGGCTTAAAGATTGGTGGCGCTTGAAAAAATATCGTTCCCAACAGAGGCGCCGTAAATTGAAACATGCCCACTTGGGTGATCCATCATCATCGTCGTCCGCCTTTGGCCCGGATGGAAACTATGATGAAAACAATGACTGCGCTAGGGGGGCAAATGGCGTTGAAGGTCATCGCCGCCAATGCGGTGCTACAGATGACAATGGGGAAATTGATCCTAATAACACAAAATGTAGAATGCAAAATCGTCGAAAACGCAGAAGCCGTCTTCGCCGCCGCCGTTCTCGCTGTCCAAGTGGGCGGGAGGCGGTGATTAACAAAGAAAATGCCAATAACAATGACGATATTAAAAATGAATCCGGTGATGCCGTTGCAGCTGAAGAAGGCATAGCCGCCAAACAAGACAATGCTTGTGTAAATGACGCTGATAATAAGGAGGATGATGAATTTGAGGACGGCTACGATGACTACTATGACGATGATGATGATGAAGAAGACTACGACGACGATGATGATGATGAAGTCGATGACTTTTGCTATTGTGATGAATGTTTAAATGTAGGTTTGTCGTACACTTTTGTTTGGTTCGTCGTTGTTTTATTTTGATTATTGTTTTCGTTTTTATTTTAGTATTTTTTCCATTCCTCTATTTTCGATGGTTGATTTTATCATTGCAGCCACTAAAACGGGCATTACCGTCACGGACAATTACAATATTTTATAAATATTGGCATTTGTTTATTCATTCGTTTGGAAACTTTGTTTCCGCTTTTGTTATTTTCGCCGTCTGCTCTATGATATTTAGCGCCAAAAATATGCACAATTCTTAATTGGTCATTTAAATATATATATTTATTTGTGTATGCAATACGTGCCCCATTTATCTACCCACCTCGAACTAAATACTTGCAATTACAATTGCTTTGTCATAAATTATTGAGTGTTTGTACCCCACACTATCTTAGGTTGCGTACATTTCGGGAAGGAAGGAAGGCAGGTACTTTTCACCTGTTGTCACATTTCGAATTCTCCCACAAATTTTGTTTCAATGTATTTTAGAATTAGCTAAAAACTTTGTCATTGTATTTTAATTGTTTGATTTTTTTGTGAATGAAAGTGTTTGCCTTATTTCTGAGATAAGAAAAGTTAAATTTAACGCTACTTAAAGTCAAATAAGTTTTTAAAGAGAAAGTCTTCCATAGATATAAGGCATTTTATAGGCGTTCTATAAACAAATGAGATTTTACAGGTCATCTAAAAACAGAAGAAGTTAACAGACCTCCTTTGAATGTATGATAATTTACAAAGAGTAGTGAAATAACTGACTGACTGAGAATCAACGCCCAGGCGAAACGGCTTAATTTTGCACGGGGGTCGGTCTTGATACGTAGGCTGGGTTTTTTAAAATACGTACTAAAGAGTACGAAAAGTACTAAAATGTAATAAAAATGAAATACGTTGTATTGGATAAACGGACTGAGCTGATGGAGTGCAGTATAGAGACACAAAAGTTTTTTTTTTTTTAGGAATTCGAACTTTAGGGTTACAAAAATTCCTAAAATGGTACTAAACTTCTGAAACGGTACGATTAACTAAAAGCTCGAAATTTGGTATGAGAATCAAGGTTGGAAAGATTTGTGCGGTGTTTTGGAAATGTGTTCTGACTTTTTGAAATTGTACTAAATTTGGTATTGGGCGAAAGGTTAGGGCTAGAATCCTAAAATTTGATATTGAAGATTCTGTTGATATCTGGAATTGAGATATGGAGGTGGTTTTGGAAATGTGTACCATAATTGTACGAAGAGTACTAAATTTGGTCATTTGAATAGAGCTGAAATCATGAATTTGATATTTAGATTACCGATGGCATCTGTGTTCGAGATTTGGCTGTGGTTCGGAAATTTGGTAAAGGGTGAAAGATTGGGGCTGGAATTTGATATTGAGACCTCTGTTGGTAAATGAAATTGAGATATGGAGGTGGCTTTGGAAATGTATAATAAAATTGTAAGAAAGTACTAAATAGTACTAAATTTGGTATTGGATGAAGAGAAATTTAATACTCGGCTCTCTGTTGGTATCTGGAATTAAGATGTTTGGGTGATAAAATCGCACGAAAAATACTAAAAAGGACTAAATTTAGTATTACGCAGGATAGTTTAATATTGGGTGAAGAAATAGAACTAATATCCTGAAATTTGGTATTGCGATAGTTGTACTAAATGTAAGTAAATTTGGTATTGGGTGAGTGTATAGAGCTGGAATCCAGAAATTTGCTATTGAGATTCTGTTGGCCTCTGGTTTTGAGATCTGGTGGTACTTTTGAAAATGTATACCAAATGGTACTAATTTTAGAATCACTGTTGTTTTCTAGGGTTTATATATATCCTCCTTGGTAAAGTTCATAATGAAAGATTTTGAAGACATGTAAAAGGTAAATGTTTTCCTATTAGTCCTTCTAAACGAAGAAAAAAATTCAAAATTCAAAATTTAGTACGGCGGATTAAGTTTTAATTTAAAATTGTCAAACTGGACAAATTGTACATTTTGGGTACTACACGGACTATTGGAAGGAATCTAAAAATTTAAGGTGTGCCTTTGGCTAACGAAGCAACGGACACTTGAAGACAACTTCCAGAACTTCTGTAGATGGAGGGCTTTGGACAGGCCTTCTACAGGTAATAGACCGTATATACAATCCTTGAACGTCTTCTATCTTAATATCTTCCATGGGTATAAAACCTACTGCAGCTGTTCTATAGAAGACCCTCTAAGTGGGACCAGCAGGAACATCACCAGTCTAAATATCATTGACACTCGGGTATTTAAAACTCTCTACACAGACTCGCTGACTGCTTATTAAAGTGCAAAAAATGCTTCCTAATTTAATGTATAGAGAAGTGGACATGGTCAAAATCATCATAGAGTTTTACGCTGATCAAGAATATATATACTTGGTTGGGTCTTAAATGATTATTTCAATAAGTTACAAACGGTATGAGGAGGTACGATGGTAGGTATAAAAATATTCTTTTCTTGATTGCATATTGGGGCAGGTTATGAAAATCCCTCTTTCTAACTGGTGGTTAATTTCTATTGATTTTGTTTGGCAAACGATTGTTCATAGGTTTTTTTTTTGCTTATTGCAGTATGGCTGTGTTACATAAATATTACCGCATTATGATATTCTTTCAATATTTTTTCTACTGTATTTTAAAAATAAATTCTAGCATTTGTTATTGTGTGTGACATTGACAAACCAGAAAACAAATTGAATTTTTTTCATTTTTTTATTTCGTCTTCTAAATTTCCTTCAAAAGCACGTAAAATTTACAGCTTGCATTTATTTATGTCGCTAAAACGTTTTACATTCTTGGAATATTTAACATAAATTTCTTCAAATCTATTTCCAGGGCGACACCGATTTCTGTGAAAGTAATGACGGCATGGATTCCGATGCCAGTACATCTTCAAATACCGGCAAACAAGTGGTTGTGGGCATTTGTGCCATGGCCAAGAAGACACAGTCAAAGCCGATGAAAGAGATCTTGACACGACTGCAGGAATTTGAATTCATTAAAATGGTCATCTTCGAGGAAGATGTCATTTTAAAGGTAAGCGTATTTCATTTTAAGTTTAATACAATTCACCTAATATGCTTCTTTGTTTTGTTTCCCCAGGAACCCGTCGAAAATTGGCCAATTTGTGATTGCCTCGTTTCTTTCCATTCCAAGGGCTTTCCCCTGGAAAAGGCCATACAATATGCTCAATTGCGTAAACCATATGTCCTCAACAATCTCCACATGCAATATGATATTCAAGATCGTCGTCGTGTCTATGCAATATTGGAAAAGGAAGGAATTGAAATACCACGTTATGCGGTATTAGATCGTGATTCACCAGATCCAAAACGTAAGTATATGACAGTGAGGATTTGCTCAAGTTTGGTGGATATTTTAAAACAAGTTTTGGTAGGAAGTTTTTGAACTTGATTTAAAGCAATTATTTCAGATATTTAAAAAAAATATTTTTTAAGAGATACTCAGAGCAATAATACTATAAGAATACTCGTTTGAAAACCGATAGAACGACTAGGCGTATATTTTTTTGACAGTTTTAGTGGTCCATTGATTAGCTTTGTTGAATTGAATTTTTGCAGAAACAAATGTTTATATATTTCTAAAACATTTTGGATATTTTTTGTATTTTAAACAATTTTTAGAGCTGAAATAATCGCGGTTTTTTTAAGAAAAAATTTTGAAAAACTTTTGATGCAATAATCGTTGGTTAGTTATGAGTATTTTTTGAAGGTCTATCAGATCAATAATCGCGGAATTTTAAGATTATTTTTGAGCCACTAGTCATTCATTAGAATACTTTTTTCCACGTTAAGATTGGAATTTTAACCATATTTTTCCAAGGCCACTAGATATACATAATTTTAACAATAATTTGTCTATAAGTGTGTTTTTTTCACGAGATTTCCCAACAATCGAGAATTTTTTGAAAATATTTTGGAGAGGTCTGTCTGAGCAATACAGTATCCACATAACGGAAACTCCAGATGTTTGGAATTTTGATGATTTATGACACATTTTTTAATAACTAATATTAGCATTTTAAGAAATTATAATGAATTTTCGAATGACCTGAGGAATATTTTGTGAGGGTAAAAGGTGATTTTTTTAAGAATACTTTGTGTCATTTCAACAACATAAAATCTGCCTATAACTAATAATTATTAGACCCTCAAAACAATTTGGTATTTTTTAGTGCCAACCTTGCTTTCCAAAATACCGCAGACACAATAGTCCAACGGATTGGTATCATTTTATTTGTTCACAAACTGCTGGACAACGAATGTTTTCTCATCGGAGAAAACCAAATTTGGCAGTTCACCACTTTCGGCTCTTTAGCTCTTTTGAGTCTATTTTCTTTCTGTTGCGGTGTAAGTTCTTGCACTTTTTGAAATTTCACTGGCCTTACCCCGAGTTCATTTTTCAATATTTGCCGCTGCGACGCGGGTTTCGATCAAGTCGCTTCTTTACTTTTCGAACCATTTCTGCTGATGTTGCTGTTTTCTTCCGTCCACTTCCTTGACGTCGGGCTACGCTACCAGTATCACGGTAATGAGCCATGGTACGAAACACAAAAGATTTATTCACATTTAAATGCTGGAGTACTCTAACGATATCCACTTGTGGTTTTCCAGCCAAATGTTCCAGCCACTATCCATCATGCATAACTTTTCAATAACTTTTGCACGCTTGTAAACAATATAATGGGCTGTCACTGGAATAAATTTAACAGCTGTCGGACGAGTGGCTTAGAAATGAAAGCAGTCTGAAGTTGGTTGCAGTTTTTATGTTACCTCACGCATATTTTAACATTTTCTAAAAATTAACACATATCTCATATAGAGTGAAGGAAATAACCAATATAGTCCGAACCTGGCACGTCGCAAGTTTTACATCATATTTATTTAGGTGCGATACGAAATGGACAATATGGACCCATTCCTTTGGAACCTACTCCATAGAGGGCCAACAATTTGTATAATCATAACAGAAGTCAAAATATATTTAAAAATCGAACATTGACTGAGGTTATACATCTGTCGACAAAACCGACTGATACTTATTAACTTATTTAGAATCTTTTTGAGGCCATGCATTGACAGTTATCGAATTTACATTTAATTGTTTCTTCTTTTCTGAGGTCCATCTGTAGTTTATTTAATTTTTCTGATTCAATTGTGATATAATTCAAATTTTAATCGCTTGTATTTTACTTGTGTTTGTATTTCCAGAACATGAATTAATCGAGTCCGAGGATCATGTTGAAGTCAATGGTATTATATTCAATAAACCTTTTGTTGAGAAACCCGTTTCTGCTGAAGATCATAACATTTACATTTATTATCCAACTTCGGCGGGTGGCGGTAGTCAACGATTATTCCGAAAGGTTTGTCTAATTTAGTATTACTCTTAAACAACTTTTACAAAATAAGATAATTTTTTACTTACAGATCGGTAGCCGTAGCAGTGTTTATTCACCTGAATCTCGTGTTCGCAAAACGGGTTCATTTATTTATGAAGATTTTATGCCCACAGATGGTACGTATTTAATGTTTTTTACATTCTTGTTTTTAATGTTGTTTTCTTTTTCTTTATTATTTTTTTATTTGTGTTCGTTTTTAAGAAGAACAAAACAAATTGTCAGACTTTGTTTCTTAAAAACTCTGTTTTTTTTAACGAAATAATTTATTTTTTTTTTCAAATGTTTTTTTTTAATATTCAATATTTTTTGATTTTAAATGACAATATTTTTTTCAAGTTTTATTTTTGTGTTCTTTTTGTATTAATCACAGTTTGTTTTTATTCTTGAATGTTGCTTTGATTATTTTAAATGAAGCCTCAATTTTTTAAACTTCAATTTGCTTGTGATTTTTGGTTTATTGTTGTTATTTTTTTATTGACTGATTTTTTCTAATACTGTTTTACTGCTAATTAAAAGTTTTGAATTACAAACGAGTTTCTAGTCTACTATCGTTAACTAATGTTTTTTTTCTGTGAAGAGAATTGTAGAACTGTTCTACTTGCTTTGTAGGTAACAATTTCCATTTCTACACTTGGCTTCAACACCATACTCATTGTAGTAAAATAAAACGGCATTCTCACCATTTCCACTGCTATAATTTTTCACAAAAATATCATCCAAACAAATTCGTTCATTCGTGATGTGTTGCATCTTTTGAAAACATCTTTTAACCTTCAAACTTTCCTACATTTTAATGCATTTTGTTCAAAAAGACGACTTCAGTGTTCCGTATATAACTGGTCTAAAACTAATCCTTTTGTAGGAAGAGGAGCCCTATCCACCACATGAAAGTCTGGGTAGCTCCCTTGGATAAGTTCGATACACTGCCGAGAAGCTCTCAGTCTGCGTTCCCGCAAGTCTGAATACTTCTATATTATTAGGTTAGGTTAAAGAATACGCGGTTGTATAAACAACCATTCAACTCGGAGACTTAATGGTTCATTGTGTTCATCATAATTTAAGAAGATAGAAGAATAGAATCGAGAGAAAAGAAGGAAATGGATAACGGATTAGTCTCCTGGCTAACTGAAGAATGACTGCTGGCTCAATGTCGTAGAAGGAGGAAAAGTCTGGCAGAATTTGCTTACCCAGTAGCCTCTGTCTCATTCCTATAAGAGTTGGGCAGTGGCAGAGTAAGTGCTCACCCTTGTCCTTGATCTCCATTCGGAGTTCACCGGCCAAATCTTTTGGAGACATTACATCCCCTTCAAGTTAGCCAGTTCTGTTGAAATTTCCCAAGATTATGCTTATATAGTACTTGTATTTGCCAACAGCTCTATGGCCTTCCTGACAGCAAAGATTTATGCCAGAAAAGCGCTACAGTCGTTGTTTGAAGGATCGTTGGATACTCAGACTTTCACAGTACACTCCAACTCCCGTTCCACTTATTTATATTATTTAGTGCTAGTATTCTCGGACCATATTTACGCCAGAGGACAATCTAACGCCTTTCAAAATGTCAGGCAGATCTTTTTGTCTGTACTCTTCGCTTTGCCCTGTCACTCTCGGTGCGCTCCAAGAATTAACTGTTAATACAATCGGAGTACTTCTTTCGAGCGTTCGCACCATCGTTTGCAATGTTCCCACATTTTCCTCTTATGCTACTCGACCCAATTGTTGAACTCTAAGACCCTGAGATAAGTGGAGTGGAGTCGTAGTGCATGGTCATTCACTAGTCTTTCAAAGTAAATAGTGAGCGGATACAGCTGTGAAGGTGTCTTGGAAAATTATTAAAAATGATTAGGAAGTCCCTGAATCGATGATTAATGAACCCTTTGGGGAATTAGCTTTCCAGTAGTTAAGGATAGCTCGACCATCAGAGGTTATTAAATGGGTGGATGTGTTAATGGACCCGGATAAAGGCAGTTTATCTGATCAAAGAGAAATGGCGGGTTGCCAGATCTAGTGAAACGTTGGTTAAGTCAGGGAATTTTCAAAAACTTTTCTCCCCAATCCACTCTACAGGGTGAGATAAAAAACTGCAACAAAGTCCATCGCCATATTTTTTTAAATTTTATTGAATGAAAGCAAAAAAGGTGATCGACACTTTGGTATTTTTTAGTGCCAACCTTGCTTTCCGAACTACTCCAGACACAATAGTCCAACGGGTTGGTATCCGGAAATTTTGGTGGCCATTGTGCGCTGGAAATGAAGCGAGGAATCTAATTTTGTAACCATTTTTGGGTGGCGCGTGCTGAGTGCGATGATGCCGAGTCCTGTTGGAATGTACAAGGTCTGCGGTCGGCATGGCCGGCGCTTGAGTTCAGGTTGCCAACCGAAGGTGCACATTTTCAGCTGTAAACACGATTATTTTGTTAGTTTACAAACTGCTGGACAACGAATGTTTTCTCATCGGAGACGGAGAAAACCAAATTCGGCAGTTCACCACATTCGGCCAAGCGAAGCAAATCCTTAGCTCTTTTAAGTCTATTTTCTTTCTATTGCGTTGTAAGTTCTTGCACTTCTTGGAATTGAAATGGCTTTACCCCATGCTCATTTTTTAATATTTGCCGAATGGAATATTGCGATATGTCCAGCTCACGAGCCATTTTTCAGCCACTGCGACGCGGGTTTCGATAAAGTCGCTTCTTTACTTTTCGAACCATTTCTGCTGATGTTGCTGTTTTCTTTCGTCCACTTTCTTGACGTCGGGCTACGCTACCAGTATAACGGTAACGATCGATGGTACGAGATACAAAAGATGTATTCACATTTAAATGCTGGAGTGCTCTAACGATAGCCACTTGTGGTTTTCCAGCCAAATATAAAGAAATCATACTATCACGATTTAATTCTATCATGAATAACTTTTTTCCTGGAAAATAAGTAGTAGTCCCTTAACTCAATTAAAGTGGATCCATTTCAAAAAATCTCACCATCTTGAAATTACTCACATAGCTTGTCTATTCGACGTTGCTTCTATACCCAGTATGATTCCACATAGCAACGTGTAAATTATTTAGGAAGATAAGTCTTTTGGAAAGATAGGCTTAATTAATTTTCAAAATTGAGATCTGGAGCTGATCCTTTATTGTGAGGCATTCTGTTGTGACATTGTAGATTCCTTCCCTTTTTTTCTTATTTTATTTGATCCAAAATTGGTACAGGTCGTGGTTGTATCGGATTTTACATTTTTTTGTACGACTTTCATACCGAATTAGCCGTTTGTTGTGTTTCGAAAAGAATCTTATCTTCTGGTTTTTTAAAAATTTTTAAGGTTTTTGAAAGATTTTCAAACCGAATTAGCAGTTTGTTTTGTTTCGAAAAGACCCCTTTCTTCTGGCAATATGAGTCCATTACTTTACGGCATTTTTCATCTTGATGCCACTGTGCATTTATCATTATAAATCATTCCAGCATTCTTTTCATTCTTTTACATGTTTTGCTTATTCTGTTTTTTTATTAGTTGGTTTGTTTCTTAAATTTTCTTTTTATAGTTTGCATGCCATTAACACGACCTTGCTTTTTTATGAAAAATCAATTTTTATTTATTAAAAAAAATATATTCTAACAATTTCTTATTAAAAAATATATAATTATTAATCACAATTAAATAAAATCAAAATTATTTTTTCCATATCAGCGGCTGAATAAACAAAAACATTAATAATAATTAAAAATATACAAAAACTCAACTTTGCCCCCCAAAACTCATTCTTTCACAGTCTATCGAAACGTATATTCAGAAATCATTTGCGAATAAAATAAAAATGTCCTGCCTGAACGTTAAACGAAATACATAAGTTGCGCAAACAGTTTGTACACCCACTCTTGCTGTTGTTGTTGTTCTCGTTATTTTGATGTTCGTAATGAAAAAAGAGAAAATGAAAAAGAAAAACGCAATTTTTTAATAATTTTTAGTTTTTTCTTTCTTTTCAAAATATTCCAAAAAAAAAAAGAACTACAACATCCTCAGATATCCAATACCTTTGTTTTTTTGGTTTTTGAACACCCAACCCCAAAAATACACACCCACACCAACCACTCTCCTTTACTAGTTAACCGAAACCAAAGATCACAAAAACAAAATCTTAAGAAAAAATAATTGAGATTTTATATAACAACCCGGTATTACTTTTAAAACGTAGTATATTTTCCAGGTACCGACGTTAAGGTCTACACCGTTGGCCCGGACTATGCCCATGCTGAGGCACGGAAAAGTCCCGCACTGGATGGGAAAGTGGAACGTGACAGCGAAGGCAAAGAGATTCGTTATCCGGTAATACTTAATCATGCTGAGAAGCTTATTTCACGTAAAGTTTGCTTGGCTTTCAAACAGACCGTTTGTGGATTTGATTTGTTAAGGTAATATGAATATATATTCTATTTATATTTTTATTTGGAGTTAATTATTAGTTGGAGAAGACCTGTAAATACGCTAAACACGTTTTTTGTTATTAATATCAAAATATATCCTAGCTTTGTTTTATAAATTCAATATCATTATCGCTTTGCTATAAAAAAAGTTGCTAATTTATGGCTCCGAATCAAGGCTTACAATTTTATGATTATCAATCGTGAAAATAGTCCTAATTGATATCAAAGTATTTATTCAAGCTTCATTGTATTATAGCATTCTCGTCCAAAATACCCTTTTCTATAAAAATGATAATTTATGTTTTAAATTCAATTATTGACGGAGGCGTAAAAGGTTTTCATATATAGATCACAAATATTTTATTTTTCACCTATATGAGATGGCCATTTAAAAGAATTGAATTTGAAGATAATCTATCTATATAATCTATCTATATATATATCTATATATATATTTTTCATATTATCCATCAGGAAACGCTTCCTCCTGCGATAAATTTGATTTAGCTTGAAATTGTTTTTTTTTTTTCTTTCATTTAGATTTAATATGTTATTTGGGAAACTTGCTGAATGCATAACGCATAGGCAGCTTTTTATAAAAGGCCCATAATTTTATGAATCTTAGCTTTCAATGCTATTATAGTCCAAGTTATGCTTTGCTTTAATAAATTTGTTAATTTTTGGCTCCTATTACAGGCTGTTAATTTCTTGAGCATGGACTTCAACAAAATCATATAATCGTAAAAATAATTCTAATTGATATTAAAATATTTGTCCTAGCTTCGCTTTATCATTTCATTAGCATTTTCCTCCAAAATGTCCTTTGTTATAAAATATGCTAGTTTATGTCTTATATTCAATTATTGGCGGGCCCTAAATGTCTTTTTAGTTAAATGAGACCCATAAATGGTAAACTTTATATGTGGAAGACCACTTGAAGCCGTAACATATGCTCGTTTCTAATCGGCTTCTGCTTCAATATCAAGATTTAGGAAATCAGGTGCTCTAATGGGCTGTGGAGTAAGTTGGGTAGGTTTAGCAGGACGATTGAAGAGATGAAACGCATTATGCGTCAAAACGGCTTTGGTTTGTCTAAGCAGCCAACGTTCTTCAGTTGCGATAGATGGAGGTGGCCTCCGAGGATGGTATTCATACTGTAATTGTTGATAGGATTCTTGATTCTGCAGATGTTGACAGGCTTCATGATATATTGGCTCTCTGTTATAGCTTTCGACCTCTCTCCTCAGATCATGTATGTCCTTCCTAGCACGCCTGGGTGGGGTAGTAGTATCCACCATATGATAGTTTGGATGACTCCCACATTGCATGATGCTGACGTATGGGAACCAGCACATTCAGCTCTGTTGTCATCTCTACAGACCATGTGGTAAAGGTTGTTCCCGTTGATTTTGTGGTGAATATTTTCATATTCTCGCGTGGTAGTAGGTGACAAGCTCCTGGAGATAGGTGATCAAACTTACACATAGGTCAACAGCAACACGGCCCGTTGTCATGATCGTACAATCGTTCTTCACGTTACGATCTGTATGCCGTCTGGAGCGCGAGGAAAGTTAGAAGTTAAAAAGTTTCGGAGATATCACCCCAGAGGTTAAACAACTTCGGAGATATCACCCCAACTGCCTGTTTTACTCTATGGGGTTTGGACTTCTTGCGCTGGAATTCCACATACGACTGGTGTCCGCATATATAGTTAATTATCGGAGGGTAATTCCATCTACATCAGCAAACAGTATGGCGTGGTTGACTGTAACAATTGCCTTTTGTAGGACAAGGCCTACCCACATTGTTCAATGACACGACTTATTCTGATTTAATCCTCGACTGCATGTGTGAATGTGGCGTGCAATGCTGTTGTGGACGGAATACTTGTTGATGATTGGCAACTGGACATTTGTCTCTCATGCTGGGGAGGAGTGAAGCCTCAGGAGTCTTTGCTACTGGTGACAAAAGTTATTAACTTCGTTAAACGTGTCTGCTGTCCTGTAATCCTTATTCTCAGGGTGTGAGAGTGACTTAACCGTTACACATAATTTATTTATATCAGTCCCAATGTCGCAACCCTTCAGATGGTCTCTTATGCTCCTATACCAAGCGATTGACTTCCACAGTAGGTTTTGGAACAACGGAGGTCAACAGGCCCATTTGCAGTCTTTCTGCCTCTGTAGGGAATTTTGGTCTTATTTCGGGTATTCGGCAAACAGGTTTATATACCAATCGGGCGCCGATTTCATGATGTCGCGGAATTTCTTGCAGTGACCTGTTATCATTCCCACCACAAGTTTTGTTTCAGATTTCGCCATTGAGATAAACGACATTATTCTCTTTCAGGAGAGTGGCCGCCAAATTAAGTGAGTTATTTTACCTTCCCGCGGGGCGATGTTTCTTTATCATTCGAAAGATGTAGCATAGAGGTGTCTTCAAAGAGTGAACTATATCTATGTCACTTTACTCGGATCCCCGTCCTGCTTAATTATCGCTGGAAGATTTGCTTTTTGTTTTGGATTTGGATTATGGATCCTCCTCTGACTAAAAATTCGTATAAAAATGCCTTATAACAGTTTCGGACGATTTCGAAGATATTCGGGTCAAAAAGTTCCCTTTTTTATATAAGCCCAAAAATATAATTTCTTTGTTCAAATTCAATTATTCAAAAAATTAGCTGCATACCCTAGCCGAATAACAAACGACGAATCCTGTGCCATCATTTTTCAAATAACGAATAAAGTAATAAATTAGTGAACATCAATAAACTAGTTGTTCATATTTTTTCATGAATTTTTCAACCAATACCAGAAAATAACAATACAAAATGTATATTTTACAAAGAAATGTTTGTCTTGTTATTGTATACTTTCTTTAACTATTTTTTTGATCAAAATTTTACTCTATTATTCTCTTTTACTTTTAGAGCAAATGGCAAATCGTTTGTGTGCGATGTAAACGGTTTTAGTTTTGTTAAAAATTCCAATAAATATTATGACGATTGTGCAAAAATATTGGGCAATATGATACTGAGAGAACTTACACCCACGCTGCACATTCCCTGGTCGGTACCATTTCAATTGGATGATCCACCAATTGTGCCAACAACATTTGGTAAAATGATGGAACTGCGCTGTGTTGTGGCCGTAATACGGCATGGTGATCGAACGCCTAAACAAAAAATGAAAGTTGAAGTTCGGCATCCAAAGTAAGTCTTTAAAAATAATTAGAAATATAAGTGATATTTAAAATAAATTCTCCCTTTTCAGATTCTTTGAAATTTTTGAAAAATATGATGGCTTTAAAAATGGCCATGTCAAATTGAAGCGGCCCAAACAATTGCAAGAGATCTTAGACATTGCCCGTTTTCTTTTGGCCGAAATTGAGACAAAAGATAATCCCGAAATTGAGGAGAAGAAAAGTAAATTGGAACAATTGAAAAGTGTTTTGGAAATGTAAGCGTAAATATGGTGCAATAATAATTTTTTAAAATCTTAATTTGCTTTTTTTTGTTTCAAGGTATGGCCACTTCTCTGGCATAAATCGCAAAGTACAAATGAAATATCAACCCAAAGGCCGGCCAAGAGGTTCCAGTTCTGATGACGGTAATAATGTTAAAAATTGTATGTATAATTTGGTTTTATTTATTGTTTTGATTGTTCACTATTTCATTCTGAAACTATCTTACAACAGAACACAGCCAGACACAAACGATGCACGTTTTCGTTTTCCAATTGCACGTTGCACCTTTATTAACTTTTAGTACCTTTAATTCGACATTTTAATTCAACTAGGATTTTTAGAAGATTGTTCTATATATATATATATATTGTTCATTTGACGCAAAGTGTAGAGTAATAGTTACTTTCAGAGGGCGTCTAAACAAGAAAGATTTTCTGTAGGTATTCTGTATATATAAGATGTTTTGAACGTATTCGGTACATGTTAGATCTTCTGGAGATTTCTTATAAAAGGATATCTATATATACCTAAAAGTATCCACTTAAATGACCATCTACAAGCCCTGTTTATATTGGAAGATTATTTGGAGCTGTTCAATACAGAAGTCTTCATATACACAGTACTACTTACAGTCTACACCCAAACTATAATTATTGTGCATTAAGGACATTCAGGATCACTGATGAAAAATATTTTCTTATATCGTTGCAATGTAGACATCGTGTATTGCCTAATTTCATTTAGGTGTCCCCTATTAAAACCCTGAACTTCACAAAAAGATGCACCAGAACTCTGTCCTCCTATCTAGTAGCCATACTGAAATGTTTGCGTTTTCCCACGAGCACTCATCCGCGAGAAGGCAAGTCCTCCAACCATCGCTTAGAAGATAATTTAACTCATCTGAAGTTCGAGTAAGCTTGGCTAGTCCACTATAAGATATTATCGTGTCGTTTCAGCCACTTTAACCTGCTTGAAGAATAACTTCTGGTTCTGTATCGCAGAACTAAGGCAGATCGTGTGTTATATGTTATCCCATAAGCCTAACCATACACAGAAGAGAATTGAACAATTGTAGAGCAAATCTTTGACTGTTTCAGTCTTCTCAACGTCATCAAACCCTGCAGTAGACAGTGTGGTCGTCGCTCCACTTGCAATTTATGGCCCTTACATTGCAGTGAGCTGTAATGATTCTTACCATAAATTTTATATCAGCGACCTTGTTTTCATTCTGCCAGTTTTGTTGGACTAGTGTTTCTCTATAATTTAAAAGAAATGTAATTGAATGTGGAGCCAGGAGGGATCTATATACATATCTATTGATTCGGATCCTCATCTTGCAGATTCATTTGCTGATTTATTGCCGAATATTTTGCGAATTCCAGGAACCCAATAAAGCTTGATGGACGACTTCTTCTAGCGCATTCCTACACTTCAAATCAGCCATAAATATAATTGAATTCGAGTCCAATACGAATTGAGGCGCTTTTTTAAAATTCCATTGCCCTACAATCGCATCTTGACCAAATGGTCGACACAGTTTCAGCTCCTAGAGTCCCTTAACACACTTGGCTTCCTGTTTCTCTACAAATAGACCTAAAGGCTTTAAATTATCTAGAGTGTCCAATGTTCGGTAGCAATAATTATTTTTCCAGACATTATCACGACTGCCGCGCGCTACACATATTCTAGTCGAATATCCGAAAGTGAAACCAAACATACCAATAACCGAAGATAAGATCGAAGAGGTGCAGCTGCTGTTTATCGTCAAAACGTCGGGACTCCCGAGACCAACAAGGCAGTGGTTTTCGGAACGACTATAATATATGTTCCCTAGGGGTTACACGTAGGCTCTCTGTATCCTCTTCTATTCAAAATTAATCCCTATACTTATTAGGACTATCTGGAAATATTTCATTCAATTTTCAATTATATCATCTTTTATATCCTGAATCGTCCATACACTTTTAATTATGTTCTTGATCAGAAACTAAAACAAGATACACAATATTGGTAAACTGAAAATGATTCGTAATGTTTAAAATTTTATATTTTTTTAATATAATTACAATATTTAAGAAGCAAGGAAAAATCTCATTTAGCCTTGAAGGAATCTCCCTTCCATATTTTTATATCGGTCAAATGTTTTATACCAACCACAAAAATTCCATTGACATTTATGATCAAAACTTCCCCAATTAAGAAAAAAACAATTTTGGGCAAGCTTTGGTAGCAGTCCGGCGATATTTAAAATCGTCATGTAATTGTATCATGATTTAATGTTATAATAATATAGATGAAGAAATATTTTCAGTATACCAACTAAATACACATATTTCCTAAATATCTCTAAATAACTCTTATTTCCAAGAAACAAATCTAACATATCCGATTTTTCTCTTACCATATAAAGTAGACGCACCATCAGAGCCATCCTTGGTTTTGATATTGAAATGGGGTGGTGAATTGACTCCAGCTGGTCGCATACAAGCCGAGGAGTTGGGACGTATTTTCAGATGTATGTACCCAGGTGGACAAGGTCGCCAAGATTATTCGGGAACTCAAGGCTTGGGTTTGCTAAGGTAATTCATTAATTTATACATAACAGGAATATTACAATTTTTACATCGTCAATTTATTTAGATTGCATTCAACATTTCGTCATGATTTAAAAATCTATGCTTCCGATGAGGGTCGAGTTCAAATGACAGCGGCAGCCTTTGCCAAAGGTCTTTTGGCATTGGAAGGTGAACTTACTCCAATTTTAGTACAAATGGTTAAGAGTGCTAATACTAATGGTCTATTGGATAATGATTGTGATTCAAGCAAATATCAAAATATGTAAGCGTACAATTATGATTTCCCCTAAATTTGTTTTAATTATTAATTAAACTTTTCTTAAAGGGCCAAAAATCGTTTGCACGAACTCATGCAAGTTGATCGCGAATTCACAGCTGAAGATCGGGCCGCCATTAATCCCAACAATAGCATCTCCATTAATCAAGCCCTGGACTTTGTTAAGAATCCCGTAGAATGTTGTAATCATGTACACAGCTTGATAAAAGAACTTTTGATCATAATCAGCGTTAAAAAAGATGATCCCAAGACCAAAGATGCCATATTGTATCATGGTGAAACATGGGATCTAATGCGTTGTCGTTGGGAGAAAATCGAAAAAGATTTTAGTACCAAATCGAAACTTTATGATATCTCTAAAATTCCTGATATTTATGATTGTATCAAATATGATTTGCAACACAATCAACATACCTTGCAATATGATCAGGCTGAGGAATTGTATATTTATGCCAAATATCTAGCCGATATTGTTATACCGCAGGAATATGGTTTGACAATGCAAGAAAAACTAACCATAGGTCAGGGTATTTGTACACCCCTGTTGAAAAAAATCAAATCCGATTTGCAGCGTAATATTGAAGAAGTCGAGGATGAATCGGTGAATCGTTTAAATCCTCAATATAGTCATGGTGTTGCCAGCCCGGGTAGGCATGTACGCACTCGTTTGTATTTCACCAGTGAAAGTCATGTCCATTCATTGTTGACGGTATTACGTTATGGGGGATTATTGAATGTTCTAACCGATGAACAATGGCGTCGTGCCATGGATTATATTTCCATGGTCTCCGAATTGAATTATATGTCACAAATTGTCATAATGCTATATGAGGATCCCACAAAAGATCCTACATCAGAAGAGCGATTCCATGTTGAGTTACACTTTAGTCCGGGTGTAAATTGTTGTGTGCAAAAGAATTTACCACCTGGACCAGGATTTCGACCACATTCACGCAATGATTCGGGCACATTGAAAACATCGGTAAGTTGCGGAATTTTAAATAAGATTGGGGTTTTTATTTTGGTTTTCTTTTTAATACAGACTCATGAAGAATGCTCAAACAATCCCTCGCGCATAGATGAGGAAAATGATACGGATGAAAGTCCAGTCAAAACTCATTTGGTAAGTATATTTTAGTCTTATAGTGGGTTATTGTTTTTAAGAATAATTTTTAGGGACTTATATGTGTAGATTTTCAGAATTGAATACGAACCCTTTTGAATTTTACAATAATCGATCTGAATATAAAAATAGCTCCAATATATATCATCGTATTTCGGTATTTTGATGATTTTAGCGACATTATTTGCCGGAATTGTTTCAAATTTAGTATGCGGAATGTATACTACAGCCTAAGACAGAAAATTGTCGGTGCAGCTCCACGTCTTCGTATAGCCTACATATCGGTATATTCCGATATTCGGTATTCTGATGATTTTAGCGACATTATTCAGCGGAAATGTTTAAAATTTGGTATTTGATGTTCGTAGTGGTCCACGTTTTTGTATAGCCCCATATAACGGTACCTCCCGATATTCAGTATTTTGATGATTTTAGCTACATTATTCACCAATATTTGATTTCAAGTTTCGCATTTGAATATTGTAATGGCTTATGATAAAAGTTCCCTATGCAGGTTCACGTCGTTGTAAAGACCCAAATATAACGGCTACATTCGGTATTTTTAAGTTTTTAACAGGTTTTTTAACGGTATTTAATTTTTTTTTTGGAAAATTCGATTCAAATGGTGGAGGGTATTAAAGTTCGGCTCAGCCGAACATACATTTTTTTACTTGCCAAACTTTTATATTAAATTTTCTCGAATTTGTTTATTCCTTTTATTTCCATAGATTTCTCCCGATGGTTTTGATTGTGAAATACGACATTCCAAGTCGAAACCCATACCGATTGGGTCTCATCACACTGTGGCTGGACATGAGGCTATGGATTTGGCAAAGCGTTTGAATAAGGAATTGGCTTCACAGCAGCAACAGCAAACCAAACAAACGGGTTCATTGGAAGCCAATCGGCCCATTAGCCCTGATGGTGAACCACGTTCTCGTAGTTTTGAGCAAAGATCACAAAAATCAAAAGGTATGTTCTTTGAATTAGCTGTTGTTTTTGGTTATGTTTCGTTTTTGATAATTATTATTTGCCCTTTCTTGCATAGACGTTATGCTTTCGTTAGTTACATTTTATTTTTTTAATAATTTAGATTTTCTTTCTTTAACAACAAATCCCTAACTTTATTGTCTAATAAACATGCGGGAGAAAGTTGTAATTAAAAAAATGCATGACAATATGGGGTGTTTTGGAAAATTAATAGCCAACAGCAGGTTTTTTTTATTAAATTTTTAGAAAAAAAACATAACTGTGGTTTAAGGCTTCAAAAGTCATAAATTCAAAAGAATAGTTTTTAAATTGTATAATATTAGAATGTAAAATATCGGAGTTAAAAATGATACACATTTCAAAAAACAAAGTTCAGGTTTTAATTGTGAAGAAGTATATTTATGCGAATATGAATAAAAAAACTACGGACCTGTTTCTTTATGAAGATAGGAATGTAAATAGGGGTAAAAATTATCATTTCTCATAAGTTTTTAAAATTTTGGATTTAAATCAAATTCTTAAAACCAATTTAAACTGGACTGTATAATAAAAATGACCCATTTACATTGTGCTGTTGGCAATAATAGAAGCGAGACGAAAGAAGGATTTACAAATTTGTTGTTAACCCAAATTGTTATTTGCAAAAAAGAATTTGTCCATGTAAATATGTCTTTGTGAATCCCTACTTTCATAAATAACAAGGGTACTAAACTTTTATTTAACCCAAGGGGAATTCTTTTGATTTAGTTTTTTTTTTTTAGATTATAACTTTAATATTAATTTTTTCTAATACAAATTTTCTTTTTATTTAATTTCATTTGATTTATGTATATACAAAATACGACCTCTCTTGTGTTTTGTAACATAAACGAATCTCTACAAATCCAATCCAACAAACAAACAAAAAAATCGAATTTTTTGTGAACTTTCAAAATGAGTTTATATAAGCATCTGGTCGGGAAATTCCGTGTATTTGGCTGAAATATATTATATTAAATTGTGATGTTAAATTAACTACTGACAATACAGTTCCTCTGAATTTTCGGCCTATTCAATCCTTATAAAAGTTTAGCGTAAACTTTTATTTGAGATAAATGCATTGTGTATTGCCAGTAGTTAAATTAACATATTTACTCTTGCTGTGTATCTTTCAAATTCAAACGACAAATTTTTGGGAGCAATAATTTTGGATTTTTTTATTCAGTATAATTTTTAGAAAAAATTAATGTTTTTTCTTTGGAAAAGTAAAAACTAGTTGAAATGTGTTTTTATAACACAAACATATCATCTATTAATATGAATTCTAAAACGTATATAATCCCACAGTAAAAATTGTTCAGGAGAGCTACTACTTGTGTCTGTCTCTTCTATATCTTGATATTTTTGGAACTTTTTAATCGTCAATATAAAATGTTACATATTAATTACATTGAATTAATTTGAATTAATATTATAATATATTGAGACTGTGAGATTGTAGAAAGAGAGGGGAGAGAAAACGAAGCAGAAAGAGAAAATATTTAGCGGTAACGGCTAAGGTTCAGAAAACGAAGGTTTACCTTGTCTACTCCATAACACTTATAGACAAGGTAGCAAGATTTGCAGGTTCAGTGTCCGAGATTTGTTAATGTCCACGCGAAGAACGAAAACAACAGCAGGGACTCAACTCTTCCGCATCCTCACATTGTTTATAAGTCGATATCATCGTCCCCCAGTGCGTAACAATTTATATATTACCACAATTGCCATTTTTACCTACGATATACAGTGAAAGTGTTGGGATCTTGTTTATCAAGTTGAGAAGACCGGCTACTTCGGCATTAAAACCTCCCATCATGCCGAATCTTCGCAACTTCATTCCTAATGGAATGTGTCAATGTAGTAGTAGAGGACCTGATTATCAAATTAACCCTAGGTGTAGTTTGCAGATGGGATATATCGGTCCACTCCTTCTAGTACCTTCCCCACAAAAGATCAAAATTTTGAGTAGCCATGAAGGTCCTATAATGCGAAAATAACGTCCGAATTTATCCAGACTTTTTTAAAGATGATAGAGATCGCACGTTTTCTTCTGGTACCTCCCACACACAGGGTTCAATATATTGAAAAACAAAACGCTTAAAAAAAGAGAAATAAGCATCCAAATCGCTTTAAATTTCACACTGTCATAACTTGCGAAACAAGTCGAATTTATGATTTCGCAAAAAATTGGATATAAAAGTTCGATTTCCTTCAAATTTTGCACATACCAATATTTTTATTTTCCAAATCTGAACCATTGTAATATTTATATCAGTCTTAGTTCAGATACGAATTGGTCAATATTGGCCAACTGCTTCGGAACCTCTCCCATAAAGAGTCAACAGTTTGAATAATTATAACTCAAGGCTGGGTGTATACATTTTCGTACATTTCGCTCTTAGAATAACACTTTGGTCCATTGTGTTTATCCTAGAAAAAATATAATTGTTGCCGATAGAATAGATAAAAAAAGAAGTGTTTATAGAGAGAATTATATTTAGTAGGAAGGTCTGCTTAGCCAGGAATTCCTTGTAGCAAATTTGTAGATGATGATGGGATCTATGTACTCTTCGAGTACTCTAACTCACGAGTAAAATCGAGTAAGACGGAGCTCGGAATAAAAATTATATCTCCTTGAAACATGTTCTATTAAAATAAATCATTCTAGCATCTAAAGGGTCCGCCAAATACTTATTTTTATGAAAATTAAAAAAGTTACCAATATCCTCCTCCATACCGGTTCAACGCAAGGGTAAAACAAATTATTTTTTTAAATCAGAGATGGGCAAAGTATTACCATTCATGAAATAAGCACTAGTTGAAAAAATTATGATTTTTTTTCTACTTTTTAGGTTTTTGCTCGTTTACCCTCCCATATTTTGTGGGGAAATTGATTTTTTCACATTGTTTAAAGCAGATAAACTTTCTATTTAATTAATAAAATAAATACTGAATACAAAATCCAAAATTATTTGATATATTCTATGAATTAACAATAATAGGGACCCAAAAAATCACTTTTCAAAAACCGTGTTTCCAAAAGTGAAACAAATCACAAAACTTTTTGCATGCCTGTAAAAATGTTGTGTTAATACTTGTTGTTGATTTATATACTTCCTAAGTTCTGTAACATCACTTCTACTACTTCTTCTTCTAAAGCCATAACCTTACTAATAGAAAAATGTACATTTCACCAAAGAAATAACTAGCCAATTAAAAAAAAAGAAAAAATAAAATAATTGCTTGCTTTGTCTGCCTGCCTGTTGATTTCTACTTCATTCGTCCTTTTCTTCTTCTTCAATGTGTTGTGTGCGCTGTACAACAAAAAAATCTTAACACCATAATTTTGTCGCTCAACTAAACCATTCACGTTTCACATACTACCACCATATGGTTGGCACAATTCTATTGTAAAGGTATGCCTCAGATGATGGAACACGGATCCAGTTTCGATTTTATTGGGCACAAAAAAAAAATTTGTTACAATTCGAATTTCGAATATTTCCAATTATAGTATCTATTCCAAATTAAGCTGTGAAGAAAAAATTTTTTTTGTCAGATTTAGAAATCTTAATAATATGTAAATAGTAAATCAAATATGCCAGATTTTTTATGACTCCATCTTCCCAGCTCAGTATGTACTTTGAAATAACCAACATTTGTTTCTTTAAGGACAATATTTTGAAACTTCTGTAATTTCATACCCCAAAAAATTTATTTTATGGACGAGCAGAATAGGGAAGCTACGTAATTTCTGCTCTTTACCAAAAAACCGAATTTTCTTTTATGGAAAAAGTCTATCTCTTTTAAAACAAGAATAAAACTGAATCAATATAATTTTTCTGTAAAAAAATTCAGGTTAAAAAAATTTTATTTTTTACCGCAGAAAAAGATGCATACATTTTGGCCTCTACCTTTACAATATTGTTTTGTTCCCTGAGCCACCACCAATCAGCCGGCTACTCACTCGTTCCAAAAATATGTTCGCCTAACCTTAAAAACGAAAATGTTATGCATTATTGTTGTGTCATACCTTTAAGTTTATGCCATATAAACATTTATTAAACGTAAATCTACAATTTTTTCGTTTATTTTCCAACAACAACACAACAACAACATTACATTTCAAAACCTTCTGACCCAAAAATAAAATCAAACAACCTGTCTTATCTCTGTGAATGCCCGCCCGCCCACTGCCTCTTTTAATATTCGCTTCATTCCTTGCTCTGTATGTGTGCGTGTTATGGCTTAAAGCTGATTCGCCTTGCAACGACGCCCCCATTACACCCTCTCCACCCCCAGCTCATGTCAAAGAATTCAAAGAGATTTTAACATCGCGTCCCAATACTAACCTCAACCAATCTTGTTTTCAAATACGTGTAACCGATAATCTGACCTTCTTTAAAATCGATTCTTCCACCAATGAGTTGCCTTTGTCGGAAATAGATTTCTCCCTCACTCCTGGCACGCCCGAATCCCATAACATGTGTACAGCCCACAAATCGCCCTCGCCCAGTAGTCAAATGCAAAAGAAACAGGCCCAATTGTTAACCATGCGACGCATGGAAAGTGGTGATGAGGGAGATTTTATGCACAAGCTAAGAGAAATAAGACGTATGTCGCCATTGGCCACAAATGAGAGGCCTTTGACCTGTAACTGTTCAGGCCATTTGTCAGCCACTCAAGAGGAGCTGGTCCAACCCCATGCCCATTCGAAAAGTGAGACAAATCTTTGTGACATGGGTAACTATACAAAAATATCCAGTCCTCCTTTGGCCATAAGCAATGTTTCCTCATCGTACGACTGTCCCACATCCTTTGAAGAAGAAATACAAATCTCATCTTCGGCCCCAGCCTCTTTGCTAAGTGGTGAATTTCTTACGCCAGCAGCCAGAAAAAGGCACATGAATAGTTTGAAGGCCCCAGGCGGTTCGCCCACAAATTCACCCACCGCCTCCACCCTAGAATTGTGTGAGGCTTTGGATAATTCCAACAAACATTCTTCAACACAACATAGCAACAACAACAGTAACAACAAGCATGCCCAAAGTCTACAACAAAATCCCCAAATTAAACGAAAAATGTCCAATTTAGTTGCTTCACAATCGGCACCGGTTATTGCTGAGCTAAACTCCTGCAGTCCCTTTAAGTTTCCCACAATTAGTAGTTTTAGGCAATTCGATCCGATTGCTGAAAATGCTCCGGCCTCTAATAATACTGCATCATACAATTTAACTAACCCATTTCAAGAATTGGACATGGATCTTCTACCCACCACCAACCAGCCCCCCAATTCCTCCTCTTCTAATCAACTAACAGATGACCTGACCCCAGCTCACCGACCACATCATATGCATTATCATCACCATATACATCATCACCACCATCATCATCATTATCACATTCATCCACATGCGGGTCACTATCGTTTATATAGTTTGAGTTCAAGACCCTCCACCATCAACACCACCAGTACCACCAACACCACTAATCCAAGTAATTCTTCTTCTTCAAATCTACTACTTTCTGCTTCCCATGATAATGATATTGATCTAAATGAAACTAACAATGATGAATTTCCCATTTCCTCTGCTTCCTTTTTCCCCACAACAATAACCATAACAACGACCACAAACACGTTGCGTCCCACACCTCCTTGCATAACCATCAATGACGATCATACACCATACAACAACACCCATGCCCCATCGCCATATAAAAAACTTCAAAAAACCATTTCCCTTGACTATTCCTCCACTCCCCCCTCAAACATTTTTGATAATTACAATGACCATGAAAATAACGCCACCACCGACCCTATCATATCCTCCATTATCAACAATCCTCCTATTACTGATACCACTACAGATAATACTGTCACTTCGACATCGTCGTCGTCATCGGTATCATCCAGACGCCAAAGACACAGTATTGCCGGCCAGATGTCTTATATGAAAATGTTGGGATTCGGTGGTTTTAGTAAAAAGATGACCACAAGCGCCAACAGTCTATTCAGTACAGCGGTAATAAGTGGCAGTTCATCGGCTCCCAATTTGAGAGATATGATCCCGGTATCATCGTCGGGTAAGTACTTTATTTTGTTTGTTGTAATGTATTTTAAGTAAAGAGTTTCCTTGGACATTTAAACTACTGATATGGAGAAGACAAATAAAAAAGTCCTTGCTGTAAGGAAAGTACTTAAGGGCCACTAAGGGGAAAGTAAGGAGAAAACAAATTAGCTCAGGCATTTCAGTGCTTCAATGGATGTCATGCAAAACTTGTTTATATATACGTTCAGGGTTTTGATTATGTCTCATATAATGGCAAAACCATATTTTAGATATTGAAAGACCTTTATAAAATTTTCCAGCCGATTTTCATCATGGCAAAGGGTGTGCAAATTTGTTCAAACTCAAATAACTGTTTCTAACCTTAGTCATGGGATTTCAAAATGCGCCTCATCGAAACAACAGTTTCAGACCCTTTGTACGCAATCAGTTTCAGGAAGTTTGGAGTCGATTTAGAGATGTCCGTTTGTCTGTCTGGCTAACTGGTACACATGATGACCATCGATGAGAGATTAGATCCAATTTGGAAATTATGAACGAAAAACATTACCTCACAGAAATCATAATATTTGTATCGGTGCTAGGTTAGGTGCGAAAATAAACAATATTGGTCCACTTCTTCTAGTACCTCCCCCACATCTCAATGTATATACATATGTTCGTGTTTCTGTGGGTTGGCAACCTGTCATTTGTCCTTGATTAGAGCATCTCCCCAAAATTATCTCAAATAGCTGCCGTCCGATTTCCTAACCTTTGGCCAGAATTCAGAAAGTTCACCAACCCTCGCTTCAGAACTGTCCACACCTTCCGATGTTCGGGTAACAGAAAGGGTTTTCCCGAGATATCATCAGAGCTGCAGCCACTCGTTATACACCTGCTGCGAACACCCGAAATTAGACCAAAGTTCAAAGCAATGGCAACGGGAATTGACAGTGGAAGTCAACCGGTTGGTACAGGAGCATAAGAGGAGAAGGGGCTAGAGAAAATATGGGTAACGGTTAAGTCATTCTCAACCACTCGGAAAAACGATGATAGGACCGCAGTCACGTTTAACGACGTCACAGTTACTGATCCGAAGAGGCGCGCTGGCCACTTTAATCGACAATTCGTCGAGCACTCCGAGATTGATAGGGCTTTTCTTTTCGCCGCGAAGGTACCACCACACTTTACGATGGATGATGTTGCGAAAGTCATCAGAAAGCGTTAGGTCCGGATGGAATTTCAATGGTTTCAATGTTGAAACAGCTGGATACGCCGAGTATCTCACTAAGTCCTCAACCACATCATTCCCGAAGCCTGAAAAATTCTTTGACAATTCGTTGAGCACTCCGATGTTGATAGGGTTTTTCTTTTCGCCGAAGAGGTCCCACCACAATTTACGATGGATGATGTTGCGAATGTTATCAGAAAGCGTTGGGTCCGGATGGAATTTCAATGGTTTCAATGTTGAAACAGCTAGATATGCCGAGTATCTCACTAAGTCCTCAACCTGTCGTTAGCCACCACATCGTTCCCAAAGCCTGAAAAATTGATAGGGTGGTCCCGCTACTGAAGTCAGGCACAGATGCCAACAAACTCGAGATATACAGTCCAAATTCGATTTAGTAGTCAGTAGCAAAGACCTTGAAGCTTTACTCCTCCCCAGCCTCAGTGGGAGCTATCCAGCTCCGGATTCCGCCCACAACAGCATTGCATGCCATATGTGTAATGCTGAACAAAAATCTTCCCTATCGCCTACTTCTATGCGAGAAATGCAAAATTATCCGCCACTAAGTCACATTCTTTGCCACATGGTCTGCGGAGATGAGAACACAGCTGAATGTTTGCAGCTCGAGGTGTACATTAATTCCACCACTAACTACCCCAAAACCCCTGGGGTCACATGTTCAAGTCGTCCGCGCAAGCCACATCTATCTGTGATCAATTGAAAAGTAGTAGCAAGATTCTTAAGGCACTAGTCCGGAGCACATTATAACGGCCAGTGTGGTCTGCGAATACGAATGCAACGCAATGGAAAAATATTCAGACCTTCCAGAAGGCCGAACTTTGAACTATAACAGGGTGTTTTCTCGTGATACCAGTGGACCATCTATTGAGAAGGTTCTTCCTCTACGTCAACATAACCATATGTTTGTATAGCAGTACTTTCTTGGGTGAAATTGTGAGAGTCATTCAAACCATCATATGGTAGGTAAAACTCTTCCACCCAGGTGTGTCCGGAACGATATACACCATCTGGAGAGGGGGTCCAACGCTATAAGAGTGCCTCTAGCTCAAGCAGGTCTGAGTGGCATTCGTACTAATAGAGTCACAGATGTCATCAACAATTCCATTAAAAATGTGGTCTTGGAGACCACCCCCAATCCTTGGTGGTTGAAGAACGTCGGCTTTATAGACAAACCTAGGGTAGTTTTTGCAGCCGTCTCCATTAGTTACATTTTCAAACCTTGAGTTAGAACCGGAAAAAATCAAATTTTGACGCTCATGTGAATTGGACCACAAAGCTCCAATGTTTCCCGTTAAAGTAGGAGACCCGTTAAAGTATGACATTTGGTTGAGAAGAATTTTGAGCGTCATTATTTTTAACAAAGGTTTTCGCAACACTTAAGTGTTGAACTTTCTCTTTTAGTTTGATTATCTCTTACCCCACCTACGATAAGTGTTTAATCGTAAGCAAGAGTAGGACATACTGTTCATTAGTGGGCGTAAAACAAAAATTAAATATTACTTTCTCTATATCAGTAGCAGGGCTGCAGGGTCTAACTTCAAGAATGCAGCTGTATTTATATAATTTTTTTTTTTTTTTGTTATTCAAAAACAAATTTCTACTTTTTTTTTCCAAATATTTAACCAAATATCCTCATTTCATAACCTCTCTGGATGTTTTTGTACTCTACTCGACAATATATGAACTAACTAATAAACCAAACAACAAAAATCACCTTCCATATCAATGTGTTTTCATCTAAAACCGAAATTCTATTATTCATTTGTAAAGTCTTCCCTTTAACAGTTCTGGACGGTTTTGGTGGTGTACCACCGATACGACCCTTAGAAACATTGCACAATGCTTTGTCGCTCAAACAACTTGATAATTTTTTGGAAAAAATGACTTCGGCACCGCTATTCAAGACACCCACATGCACACCCCCGAAAAATCCCTCAACACCGCTGTCGATGATGACAACCATAACGGATGAGGATATTTGCTCGGCAACGGCCAGTACACCAACCAATAACATTTGTCGTTGTAATGACAATAGTATTCTGAATGAAAAGAATCCGGAACGATGTGGTTTGTGTGGATATCAAATAAGGAATGCTGTACCAGATGCCGAGTCAACACCCGTGGCAGCTGGTGGGGATCAACAGCAGCAGCAACAGCGTTTGCAGACAACAAATCCAGTAGCAGCAGGGTCAAGTTGTAAGTTATAAATTACAAGTTTAAATGATTTCAAATAGATTTTTCTGTTCAATGTTAAATGAATAAAACAAAGACATTTTCTTAAATTATTTGTTGTAATTAAAAATTTTATATAATTTCATTTGATTGAGAATTTTAATGATGAGAAACAAAAAAATATGTTTTTTTTTTTAATATAATAAATATTGTTTAATATAAATGGATTTTTGTATTGTTTTTATTTTGAGTTTAAATTTTTTATGTTGCGAATATTGAGATTTTGGTTGCATTTCGCTGAGTAAATACTTTTTCAGTTTCAAAAATTTGGTAAGATTTTATACCTTTTTATGCCACCCAAACGCACTCACATTAATCAATTAAGGACAACATTTATTCTTTTAATTTTAGAGGGATTTTTGTCTATTGATTTGATTGAAAAACGGAGACTGGTAGCATTTATATTCCGATTGAAATGAATTTTTTTAGAAATTATTTGTTTGTTCCCTATTGAAATCTGTGATAATTGGTCCAAATATAGATATGGCTCCGACATATTCCTTCCCCCGATTTCAATTTCATTGTGAGTCATATGTGTAATATTATGGTACAATTACAGAAGATTAAAACTGTTGTACTTTTATAGTTTGAAATAAAAGCCAATGTTTGTTAATACTAAAGGTGTAAAGATTTATTGGATGATGAGCGTTCACAGCTACTAATTTGAAAGGAATGTAGAAGTTACAATGTAGTGAGTCAGACTCGAGTGACAGACAAAACAAGACTGAGCAAGCTAAAATGGCGGTAGCACGGCGTCCTATTATATGGGCGTTGCCGTATAGGATGTTGCAACATGAGATGCCATATTGTTAATGTGGGTTGCCCCAACATCTCCCTCCTTAAGATGAGAAGGTGATCTTGAAATAGGTTCGACTGGTTGTCTGCGACTTGTTATTCTTTGAGGTGTCCAGTTTGGTGAACCTGTTGGAGTTGCAAAATGTTCTTGATGGTTAGGCAAAGCGATTTCGAATTCTTCAAGTAGTACGTCCAATGGTAGTTTTTGTCGTTCTTGACTGCTTGACTCTACCGATTCTCTATGTCGAAGTTGATCAGTATGAGCTCGTACTAGAATTTTCCTGTCCCCAACGTCGATTAGAGTGTTGTAAATGACTTTCCCTTTACGCTCGACTATTTCGCCTGTTGTCCAGTAACTTTTGTTTCCTTTGAAGTTTCTGGCATAGACCAATTCTCCGTTGCTAAACTCTCTGTTTTTGGTACCGTGTTTGGTATTGTACTGCTGTTCCATTTTGTGATTGACGTTATACTCAGGCGATTGTTGCTTCCTTAGAACGTCGAAGACCGTTCTCATTTTTCTTCCGATGAAGGATTCTGCTGGAGACTTACCTTCTGGTGCATTTGGATTTGGTGTGGATCTGTAGACTTCTAGGAAGGTTTGGAGAGATTCCGTAGGCGTTTCTTCCCCTTCTAGTTTTTTTAATGCACGTTTAAGTGTATCAACGAAACGCTCGGCTTGTCCATTTGAACTTGGATGAAAACGAACAGTCCTTGTGTGTTTAATGCCTTTTTTGCTGCACCACTTCTCAAATTGTTCTGAACAGAACTGTGTTCCGTTGTCCGAGACCAATTGTTCAGGATTTCCGAAGAGTGCACAATATTCGTTTAACATTTTTAATGTTGCATATGTGGTTGTCGTTGTTGTCTCGTATATAACAGGGTATTTTGAATACGAGTCGATGATAAGAAGATAATATTTACCTTTTTCTGGACCAGCATAGTCTATATGTATCCTTTCAAGAGGGTGTGAAGTTAATGGCCATGGGCAAAGATTTGTTTTTACTGGACTTTTTGCCGCATGTTGACAATTTTTGCATTTCCGAACAAAGTCTTCAATTTGTTTGTCGATGTTTGGCCAATAAACATAACTTCTGGCGATGGCTTTGCTGTGTTCTGCTGATAAGTGTCCTCTGTGAAGTTGTTGTAAGATTTGTCTCTGATATGATTTAGGAATTACTATACGATTATTGAAGAGAATACAACCATCGAAGGTTGAAAGATTTTCCTTGCGGTTGAAAAATTGAATAATTGATGGGTTAATATTTTTCTTGCTTTCTGGCCATTCTGTTTGAATGTATTTGAGGACCATTTGTAAATCCGTGTCTTTTGTTGTTGCATCGACGATCATTTTAAATGATACTGGGAGAACTGACATAGTTTCATTTATCTCGTTACGTATGTCTTCTTCGAATGATATTGAAGCCACTATAAAGTCATCTGCTGGTTTTTCGTGATTGTTGACTTTTGTTTTGCACAGACCTGGGGTACTGTTATCAAAAACTGATTGATAATTCATTTTCAATTCTGCTATTTCATCAACGAAGTTTATTTGATGACACCATGAGGTTATTGGTTTCTGCCATAGATTGAATGCTTGAATCCAATCGATTCCCATGATATTGAGTTTTTCTATATCTGTTATATAACATTTTAATGTTTTTGATGTTTTGTCGATTGTGACGTCACATTGAAATTCTGCTAGGAGCTTGATTGAGTTTGCGTTTGCGTCGCTAGCGTTGTCAAAAGTTTCGTAGGCTTCAGGCTTACCTATAGCTTTCCATGTGTTGATAGATACAATTGATATGTCTGATGCAGTATCAATTTGAAGTTTTACAGGATTGTTGTTAATTAGGACAGTTGTGTATTTCCTTAAGTCGCGGAAATTAATGTTGTGTGTTTTGAAAACTGCCTTAGTTTTGAATGATTTCCTTGAATTGCTGTATTTCCTGAATTCGTTCTGGTTGTTTTCAGACGATGATTTGAAATTCTTACCAGTCTTAGCGATGTTGCAAAAGTTATTTTTATGACCCACTTGATTGCATGTTGTGCATTTATGTTTCTGGAAAGGACAAAATTTGACGTAGTGAAGGTCTCCGCAATACCAACAGGGTGAATTGGGTGTTTTGTGCTTCTTAAAGTCTTTTGCGTGCTTGTTGAGTGAACAGACGATTTTTGATTGATGTTCAATGAGAATGTTGTCCGATTTGAGATCTAGAATTCGTTGTGTTTCGTCTACTAGTTGATCTAGGTTCATTGTAGTGTTTTCATCATCCAGTACCTTTAGTAAGCGAAGTCTTATGTCGTTGTCCTTTGCTGACTTGAGTCCTAAGACGAAAATGAGACATTTGAATTGGTCGATTTTCATTTCTTTCATTTTGAATAGTTCGCATTGTAGGTTTACTCTGCTTGCGTATTCTCTGAAATCTTCGCTGTCGCCTTTTGCTAGCTGAAGGCATTTGTATCTTTGTGAGACTTGTGTTTCTGTTTTACCAAAGAGTTTCTTGAGTTTCTCTACTGTATCCTTTAGAGTCATGTCTTCAGGTTTTGCTGGTAATACGTAGTTGGCAAATCTTTCATGTACTTGGTTCGACATTTTTCTCCATAACAAGGCCACTTTGTCATGTTCTTCGAGTGAGCTTGCTTCTTTTTCGAAAACATGCACAAACCTGTTGTACCACGCTTGAAATATCAGACCGCTCTCTGGCTCGTATACGAATGCTGTCATTGACTGTGCTAGTGATTCCATTAGTGCTGCTTTGGATGAATTTGATGTTTGTGGTGAGTGTGGTGAATTTGGTGCTCCTTGTGCTTGAAGAAGATCAGCCATATGCTTTAGCAGTTGCGTTTGTTGCGACATTGCTTTTTGTTGCTCTGTTAACAATTGTAGAATTATATCTTGAGACATTTTTGCGGATTGTTGTGTGTGCAATTATTGATCAATTTCCACTATCCTCGTCGCCACTTTTGTTGTACTTTTATAGTTTGAAATAAAAGCCAATGTTTGTTAATACTAAAGGTGTAAAGATTTATTGGATGATGAGCGTTCACAGCTACTAATTTAAAAAGGAATGTAGAAGTTACAATGTAGTGAGTCAGACTCGAGTGACAGACAAAACAAGACTGAGCAAGCTAAAATGGCGGTAGCACGGCGTCCTATTATATGGGCGTTGCCGTATAGGATGTTGCAACATGAGATGCCATATTGTTAATGTGGGTTGCCCCAACAAAAACTCACTTATGATTCAATTTATACTATAAGCAAGTATGTCAAATTTGGTGAAAATCGCTTTAGAATTAGCTACAGCTCAAATATATGTGGTTTTCCAGCCAAATATAAAGAAATCACACTATCAGGCTTGAATTCCATAATTTTTTCTGGAAAATTCTCACCAAAATGCTTTTGTACGCTAGTAAATAATATAATGAGCTGTCACTGAAATAACTTTAACGAGTGGCCTAGAAATGACAGCCGTCTGGAGTTGGATGCAGTTTTTTCATTTCCCCTGTATTTGGTAAAACTCGGATCTCAATATTTACGGGTAGCTCTAATAAATATAAATACGACTTTTGACTCTTCTTTATTGTAGCTAATGCAGAGAACTTTCCTTTTTTATGGGCGATCTGAAGCAATAATCCCTTAAGCAGAGCTTTCCTTTCTTAAAGGTAAATATTGCAGGGATCTTTTCCTTTATTTTGCCTTTTTCAAAGGATGACTCTAGCTGGGAGCCTTTTTCCTTATAAGCAAGCTAAAGCTCAGAGCCTTTCTTACGTAGATACGAGCTTTCTCACAGGCAATAAAAAATATGGTTTTCCTTACTGTCGAAAGGTTTCCACAACACTATGGCTATTGAGATGTGATCCGATATCACTGAAATTTTAGTTTTTGCCGTTGACCCTCTGTCTATGAAAACTCCATAATCACGATGAGGAAGTCCGATTTGATCCACAAATAGATTATCATACAAATCTGGAGTAAGCTGAGAAACCCTAACCCATGGCTTTAAAGAAGCAGGTGGTTAGGGGCACTGACTAGAACAACCTCACTATCCTGATGAGGAAGTCATTATTTATGGGAGTCAAAAAAATCGAGAAAAAATCTCAAAAAAAAATTAAAGAATGTTAGGGTAATTAATTAGTCGGGTAAGGTAATTAGTCGAGGAAATTCTATCTTCAAGAGTGAAACATTTCCGGACTAATACTATAGCTGAATTATTCCCATGGAGAGGAAAATTAATTATTAATTAATTTGCAAGTAGTCAAAATTGCGAAGAACTGATTAGGATATCCATTTTTTGGTCATCGTAATCTTTTCACTACTATATCACATCCATTCTTTAAAAATCCTGCACCAATCAACTTTTTTCAAAATACCAACTATTTAAATGTTTTGCATGCTTAAATTAAATTAATCTTATTTTTTTAGTTTAAAGCACCGATGCCCGTTTCTAATTTCCTCTGCCAAATCACAATGCAAAAATAAATATTTTTTAAATACAATTTCAAATATTGTTTTCTTCGGAAATGGTATGAATATAATTTTTTAATAAAAAAATTCAATCTCGTTTTAAAAAGTGCTAAATTTAAAGATTTTTTTTCAAAACTACTTTTCTTCTCAAGTATGGAGTAAGCAATCGAGTATAGCAAGTAGTATCACCGAACCATCTTCGCCGGCCATATCGGATACATATTCCCAGGAGACGCCTAGCTGTGAGATGTCAATTAGTTTGACCAGCAATGAGGGTGGCAATTATAGTCTACCACCATCATCGGCCACGGCGGCCAAATTGGCACGTTTCTTTCCCCGCTTGGATGGTGATTTGAATACTGTCAGTGTCTATACGCCCATGAATTTGGATAGTTTGGATAGCAATGATACGGAATTTAATATGGGTGCAATTGGTGGGGGTGGTGGCGGAGGTCCGGGAGGTAAAAGTGCCTGTTTGACACCGGTTAGCTTTAATATGGATTTAAGTATTGTGGCCAACAAGGGATCGCTGACATTGTCCGTGGATGTAAGTTCGTTGTTGTTACTTTAAAGGAAAATTTATGGTTTTTCTTATGATTTTCTGTTTTTTATAGGGCTTTGAGGATGAAGATGCCACTCCCTCAGCTGCAACCACACCATCTTTGCCCCATGATGAGGGACCCCAATTGGAAATGTGTTACTGCTGTGAGGGCCATGCCGAATCTGATCAACCACCCGATGATGATGCTGAACAATCAACGGAACTCTTTAGCAGCATGAGAAATAAACGTTTAGATGAAAATGAACCCAAGGTTGCTTGCTGTTGTCACGCCGATGAGGAGCCACCCTTAAGTGCTGGACCAACCTTTGGCGATCCTGTACCTCCCTTGCTTAGCATACGCAAAGCTTCCGATACCATTTCCCCCAAAATACAAAAACAGATAAGTCTCTTTGAAAGTGGCGATATTGACAGACAGAAAGACTATGCGGCCTTGCATGCCTCAATAAATATACCCCAGCCCAATAGTTTACAATTGAAACAGGATGCTCGCCTAAGGAAATTTGAAAATTTAACCCAGTCTACATCCAATTCAAATTTTCCATTCGAAAGCAATACTTTGAAAAGAGTGCCAAATAATGTGGAAGATTTTGTCGATGTCAATCTAACACAGTCTTGTATAAATCTGAAAACCTCAGATGTGGTAGCATCTGATTTGGTTTCCGGTGGCGGTTCTCCCCAGCACAAGGCATCACAATCGGCAATATTTCGCCCCATAACTATGCCCTCGGAAATGGGCTCAGCCAGTGGCCCGGCAAGTCCCCGCCCGGGCGCTTTAATTGTGAAAGAGAAATTTATCGAACCACCCAAACGCATTACACGCAGCTTTCATGGCAAAACACAATCAATGGATGCCGATTTCCTCTTCAATGAATTCCTCTTGGTTCCCGCTCAGGCACCCAATACACAACAGAATTCCTCAAGCAGTGAGGCGGGTAGTTCATCAACTTCACCGTCCACTAATCGTCCAAATAAACGTTTCACCACCACTAAGGTATTGGATGAAGCTTTACAAGATATAGATAAAGTTTAGATATACATAAAGAAAAGTATACTGGAGTACGTTTGAGAGTTATGTCAGATTAGGCAAAAACTATGTAGTTGTAAGTTTAAAACAAACAAAAACAGAACAATCCAACAAAATTAAAACTATGAAAATGTATGTGTTATGAGAATAGCGGATCTAAATGAAATTTAAATTAAATAAAACTCTACTTTCAAAGGAAAACGAGATTCATTTAATTTAGAAGTGGGTGGCTATGACACCGAGGGGTTGGGTCACCATGATTTCACTACTGCATTCAAAGCAGAACATTTAAAGTATTTAAAAGTTAGGTTAGGTTAAAGGACGCGCCATCTTTATTTCCATTCGGAGACGTGCTGGTTGTATTTGCCCCAAAATTAGGAAAAAAGAGAAGAAATGGGGGAAATAATATGATAATTAACCACTTGAATTTTCTGGCTAGTTGAAAAATTTCTGAAGGCTTTGTATTAGAGACAACAAGCTTGTGTTTCCCATTGAGAGCTGGACAGTGGCAGAGTAAATGGTCAACTGTCTCAGTTTCTTTCTCATCTTAGCAGATTTTACAGTAATCAGTATCGTCACTACTCCATTTAGGAGTCGTAACTGTAACACTGCAGTGACCTTGGATGGATGTGAGTGATCTTGTTCTCTCCTTAGAGATTATATACCAGATTTAGAAGGAAGTATTTAAAAGTTGGATTACATATTTTGGTATTTTTATCCTTTACTTTTTTTCTCATATATTTTTGCTTTGAAATTTAGTGCTTAATCCAATAATATTTCCCTTTGTATGTTATATTAGAAAATCGACAATCGGATCAAACCAAAAAATAGGCAAAAATAAATGTTATAAATTGATGTTTCTTTATTTTTCAATTTTATGATAGGAATCTCCAAAAGTCATCATGGAATTGAAATAGAGTTGTAGTAACTTTCCTTCCTTCAATTACCGAGTATTTCACATTTTTCCTCCATTTGTTCACTAAACAAAAATCGTAAAAATCAATAATTTAAGCTTAGTTTTAATTTCTTAAAACCTCTAGTACACTTAAGACGAATGTACTTCTCCTTCTCTGTTGCAACATCCAGACACTTAATCGACTATAATTCAAAATTATCTTCATAGTTATCCTTAAACTGTAACAGACTTTCAAGTACTTCAGCATAATCATCATCTTCCAAACCGGCTTCTTTAAAACGATGTAACTTTGCAATTTTAATACGTTTCGCTTCACGGTGCAACGTCTCCAGCGTGTCACCTAATTCACTTGATGATTGTACAGATGCAACACATGGTACGGTGTTGACACGTTTATCTTCCGTTCTCTTTTCACTGGGATGTATAAATCCTGAGGTAGTTAGGTTATCGGCAAATATTTCATCTGGATATGGTAGACGTGTTGGTATGGCTGACTTAATAGAAGTTACATGAGCCATGCCTGCATGGTTGGAACATTGTAAATATAGTTGGAACATTTCCGATACACTTTCACAACGATACGCAGCCATACGCATTTGATCTTTGTTGCATGCTTCACGAGGTCTTTTCAAGCGATCCGAGGGTATTCCACGAACACAGAGAGATTGTATTACATAATCATTGCCCACCTTGCAATTTGGTGTTAACTGTGTAAACAGTGGTCCTTCAAATTTATCCAGGCAATCTATCAAATCCATATTGTACTGCATTGTGAAGGGAAGATTGAAGGCAGCCGCAGCAAATTTACGTCCATAATTGCTCATATCACCACAAAATCCTGCTAAGCTATTGGAGCCGGGCGCCTCTTTAAGTCGGTAGCGTAGTGAAATTGTATCTAGATAAGAAGCCAATACTGCCGATGTCTGGTATAGATTATCATTTCGGAATTCAATGGAATTAAATTTGCGCGAGGATCCCAGCTGACGCCAAACACGATCTTGAGTACTCAAGGGCACGAAAAGATTGGTCTGTTCGATAAGTTGACTAAAAGTTAGAACACTATTCACCACGCGTATGGAGTCGGACATGGCTTCATCTGGAAGAAAAGAAAATAATAATAAAATATTAAAGACATTAATTGACTGTGCAAGCTCTCCACAAATCTAAATCCAAATTAATCAGGGAACAAATTTTTGGGGATTCTGGAATAAAGGTATTGATTGATTGTGTATGATCTCCACCAATCTAAAGCCAAATAAATCAGGAAACAAATTTTTGGGAATTCTGGGATAATCCTCCAAACACTATATACATTCGCATTTAAAATGAAGAGTTTCCCTTGCGGAGAGCATGCATAATTCATTTGCTTACCTGCATTTTCATAGAGCATATTCTTCGGTGAATATAAGGGTATTGCCAAATTAGCTTTACCATATTCGTCATTCAAATGCTCCATACATTGTGTGGCCATACCGCCAAAGCCGTTAAAGGCGTCAAAGAGCGTTTGAAAGCCCTGCATAAAATCACATTCTTCTACATATTGACGTATACGATCACAAAAATCTTCCTCAAATTGCTCGGTTTTCCATAACTGCACACCATTACAAAATGTATCAAATGTTTGCTTCTCGGGATCATGTCTGTATTGTTTGACAACATGAACTGTGCGTGGGTGATAGCGACCATATAAAAAATCTGCCCACGAATCAACATTATCAGCTAGATCATATTTTTTATTCTCAGTAGCCGCAGCGGCATTATCCAGATCTTCTTGGAATTCATGTTTTGCCGTTTCTTTTTCGGCAACTATTTCTACATCTGATGGCTGCCATGCTACATCTTCTTTTAGCTTTTTAACTGACTCATGTTCTTCTGAACTGTCATCGCCCTCGGTTGGAAATAGTTTTTCATGGATATCTCTTTTTAAACTGTTGCCATATAGCTCACCCTCGCGTGGCAGGTGTTTTAGGGATCCATCCAAATCAACTAGTAGTAAACGTGGTGTATAGGTGGTTTGTCTCTAAAATAAGGCATGTAATTAAATGGTATATTTAAATAATATTAATTCACATACATTGTGATTAACACCTTCTCTGTATAATACATCATGAGATATCTCCGAAGGTCCAGCACTGCTGTCATAGGAAAATCCAGATTCCTAAAAGAAATTGAATAGATTTTATATTGAACACCTGCTCATTAACCGTAAATTTTTGAAAGCAATAGTTCACCTGTATGTTCCACCAGTGGGTCCCCACATAATTGGCATAGTTACCAAACTGCAGCGTTAATATTTCACGAACATTCGACATCCTGGAAGTTGTTTATAACACAAATCTGACGAAGGATGCTGCCTGACGATTTTATGGTGAAAACACTAATAGTGTGAGGTACTTATGACATAAGTTTTATTACACTTCCTTATTTTTCTTATCTCCAAGGTTTCCTCGTTTAAACAGCCGTGGTTTAAGAGTGATATTTTAATATTCCGGGATAAATAATTTCATATGGTATGGAGGAAGGCGTGAGAATGCCCGGAATTGTATTTTGTAAACAAAACAACATATGATTCATGTATGTCTTCTTGTTCTCTATTTAGCACATCACTGTGAAATGATAACATATCAGAACAATGCGCTGAATGAGATACAGTGACTCTCAGTAAATTTACTCAACTCTCAGTTGATTAACTTAAATGATTCTTTCCTTATAAAAATAAAAACTAAACAATATATTACTAAAAAATTGCTTAGTAGATATTAAGATTATAAAGCATAACATAACAGAAGAGAGAATATTTGTAGCCCTCCGAATTTTGAGTGGTGTCGTAATATGGATTTGCGAAGTACACGGCGAGAAGTTAAGTAGCAAATTCTCCATGTGCTTCGAATTGATACTCTTACAAATATCGGGAAAAAGCTTCATAATACCTAAAAGAGTGGATATATACTTTGCACAAAATTCAATTAACGAAATTGGAGATTTAAAAAAATCAAAGTAGTTAGAATCGGTTAGTACTTTTATATGGGATATGTACCAAAAAGTGGACGAATATATCCCATTTTCCATTTAATAAATCTTTCAAACAAAACAATTAGATTGATTGAATATAGAAACCTATGACCTACATTTTTTCCTATTTTTTTCTGTTCTTTATATTTCAATGTGTAAAATGGAACCACCTTTCTAATTCAGTTAGAAAATGTATCTTATTTCCGGCAAGAACTTTTCAATTACAGAAAATGTGTTCGTTATATTGGAAGTATGTTTTACATCACATATTTATGTTATTGGTCATTTTTTAACTTATAATTAAAAATAATTTAAAATAAGATTATAAAAACTATAAAACTTTTAACGATATTCCGCTATGATAATTTGATCATAAAGACTTCTCCTGTTCGTCCATTAGCTGGGGTGTTTTATCGGCCAGTTTTTCATTTAACCTTTGGGATACAAAGCAATTCCAAAATACGGCTATCGTCTGCACAAACACCACTTGATATCTTAGAGGCACCAAACCAAAATTAAGAATCTGGACCGCTGGCCAAATAATATAATTTGTCTTCATTATATCCGGATATTGGGTTTTAAGACGTTCAGCTATGTCTCCAGGTTTTTCATTGTTGATTAATCCCACCAAGCTGGCAATGGCTAAATTCAGCGATGGTGCCATTATCGCCTGGTCCACAGCCATTTTCTTTAAAGCCCGCTGTACACCTTGTTTGCCTCTTATTTGGCGATCTAATAGACCAAACCAATATTTTAGAACGGGACCAACAAAAAGCATACCCAGGGAACCATACTTTGCTGTGCGTATGAGATCAATGTCTTTGAAGGATTTCTTCTCCACAACGGTTTGCGCCAATATATCACCGGCACCCATGATTCCTGCTGCTCGCAAACCCTCAGAAACATAGGGGCGTAGGAAGCGTATATTGGAAGCCATTTTACAAAACTGTAGATACTTTTACAAACTGAAACACTAAATTAATTTAATTTGTTGTTAAATAAGATTTTTGGTTATGTTCCCCCAAAAATATAAACAAGGCATTCACGATGACATGATAACTTTTGTTTACACGGCATCACATCATATGGATGCTAATAACTCACAGTGAATATTATTTGTTGGAAGAAGAAGCATTAAAAACGTGCATTGTTTTGTGGGGTTGAAGATACTTTTAGGAATTTCGGAGATTTTATTGAAAAATACATAAAACAATGACGGAGAAACGTAAAATCAAACAATTCCATGAAATGGAATTAGATGATCGTATTCTAAAGGTAAGCCACTTTAGAGAAATATGTATCGGAGTTCTCAATTATAATTTCATTTGCATTTTAGGCCATATCAAAAATGGGCTGGAGCGAGCCCACATTGATACAAGAGGCTGCCATACCTTTGTTATTGGAAGGTAAAGATGTCATAGTCAAGGCTCGCACTGGTTCTGGCAAGACAGCGGCATTTGCCTTGCCCTTGATACAAAAGATCCTCAATTCCAAATTGAATGCTGCCGAACAATGTATCAGCGCCTTAGTTTTGGCTCCCAGTAAAGAACTTTGCCAACAGACGCGCAAAGCTATGGAACAAATGAGCGAAAAATGTGGTAAAGTTTTGCGTGTAGTTGACTTGTCATCTAGCGACACCGTGGCACAACGGCATGTTCTCTCCGAAAGGCCTGATGTTGTTGTAACCACTCCAGCTAAGGTTTTGGCACATTTACAATCGGGCGCCATGGATTTAAAACATCTGGAGACATTGGTAGTGGATGAAGCCGACTTGGTGTTTTCATTTGGTTTTGAGAAAGATGTAAAAAAATTAGTTGAATATTTACCACCAATTTATCAAGCCGTTTTAGTCTCGGCCACAATAACCGAAGATGTGATGAATATGAAAAACATCATTTTAAATAACCCGGTAATTTTGAAACTTGAAGAGCCAGAGCTGGTGCCAGAAAGTCAGCTGTCACATCAACGCATTTTGGCCGAAGAGCTGGATAAACCGGCAATTTTATACGCTTTGCTAAAATTGCGTTTGGTACGTGGCAAGAATGTTATTTTTGTCAACTCTGTGGATCGATGTTACAAGTAAGTAAAACTCACTCAAAAGAATTGAAGCTATTGAATGGGAAGGGAAAAGTATAATCGCTTGATACAACAAAACCTCCTTGTTTAAAGAAGGGTTTGAAAAAGTCATATTTCGCTACATATGATGGCCTCAAAGTACTCTAGCTTTGGGAAATGCGTAAAGCAGAATAAAAAAATTAAAATCTGTAATAATTAATGCAACAGGACAAGGACATCATTGGATCGCTGTTTAATATGGAACACAAATGTATCATATTTATCACTGACCATAAATAAAAATGAAGGAAAAGGAAAAATAAACCTCATGTATCACAAACGACTATACATTTCCCTTCCATATCCTAATATTAACGACTATGATGAAACTTTGTTATCAATATCAAAGAAGTAGCATCTGTGTCGAACACACAGTTGGCTTCTAAATGATTTACCCAACTAATCTTCTCTCTGACTTATACATAAGCTTTTACATTTTTGAAATATCAATATGTAGTCCTAATTAATGTAATTCTTTTTTATTCCATATTTTTTAGGTTGAAATTATTCTTGGAGCAATTTAGCATAAAATCCTGTGTCCTCAACTCAGAACTTCCGGCAAAAATTCGCATTCATACCATTAATCAATTTAATCAAGGAATTTATGATTTTATTATTGCCTCTGATGAACATATGTTGGAAAATCCTGGTCGCAACAAATCTGATCGCGAATCGGGAGCATCAAGAGGCATTGATTTCCAATGTGTCACCAATGTCATTAATTTCGATTTCCCCAAGGATGTGAATTCTTATATCCACAGAGCGGGACGCACGGCTAGAGGAAATAACAAGGGTACTGTTTTGTCAATGGTTAGTATAAAGGATAAAGAAATCAATGATGAGGTGGAGGAGCGTCTAAAAGCGGGTTACATGAGTGAGGAACAGGTTATAAAGTAAGTAATAATACTTTGTTGGTTTTGGAGAATGTATTTTAATAGTTTTCGTTTTTTTTTTCCAGAAATTATCAATTCAAAATGGAAGAAGTTGAGGCCTTCCGCTACCGTGCCAAAGATGCCTGGCGTGCTGTTACCCGTACCGCAGTCCACGAGGCTCGTGTACGTGAAATTAAACAGGAAATTTTCAACAGCGAAAAACTGAAAGCTTTCTTTAGCGAAAACACTCGGGATTTGCAAGTGCTGCGCCATGACAAACCTTTGAAGACAGTTAAAGTACAGCCCCACTTATCACATGTTCCCGAGTACATTGTACCAAAGGCATTGAAACGTATTGCCACAACACCTCTATCAACGTCGTCCGCATCGTCATCTACCTCAAAGAAACCACGTTATTTTAATTCTTCTGCAAAGGCTGCCTATGAAAGTAAGGCCAGCAATCCTCTGCTGTGTAGCGAAATTGATTTTGGCAAAAAGACCGGAGGCAATCGACGTCGTAAATGAGTGAACATTGGAAGGATTGTTTTAGTTCATTAGTTATGTTTTAATTTATAAGTAATAATTTTAATGTAAAAAAGAACATTAACATGTAGATGTTAAGAAAATCTGCCTTTTCAAATGAAATACACACATAATGTTGTGATATGTACTGTAAAGAGCGATGTTTTTTGAATATAAATATGGTACCAGAATTTGCTCGCCCATAAGCCTATGTCTAACAGAATTGGCAGTGGCAAAGTAACTGTTCTAGCGTTCTAGTTTCTTCCTCATCTTAAAGCCTGCAGTAATCGATGTTGTCGTCACCCCGTTTAGAAGTCATGACCCTTATGTTACAGTGATCTCCGATTAATCCAACCACAAGTTTTAGTTCCGATTTCGCCATGGAAATGAGCGACTTTTACCTCTTCTCAGAAAGCATTGGTCAATTTTTGGCACATTGCATCCCCTTCCATTTAGCCATTTTTTTTTTTTTTTTGAAATATCTCGGAATGTATCGAATGACTCGGATTCATGTATTTTTGTATCGAAAGACTGATATCTTTATATTTGGCTGGAAAACCACAAGTGGTTATGGTTAGAGCACTCCAGCATTTAAATGTGAATAAATATTTAGTGTCTGGTACCATCGCTCGTTACCGTGATACTGGTAGCGTAGCCTGACGTCAAGGAAGTGGACGGAAAACAGCAACATCAGCAAAAGCGGTTCGAAAAGTAAAGAAGCGACTTGATCGAATCTCGAGTCGTAGTGGCCGAAAAATGGTTCGTGAGCTGAACATATCGTAATATTCCATTCGGCCAATATTGAAAAATGAGTACGGGTTAAAGCCATTGAAATTTCAAAAAGTGCAAGAACTTACACCACAACTGAAAGAAAATAGACTCAAAAAAGTTGCTTCGCTTGGCCGAAAATGGTGAACTGCCGAATTTGGCTTGCAGTTCGTAAACAAACAAAATGATAGTGTTTACTTGCCAAAGAGGTCAGCACCTTCGTTTGGCCACAAGAACTCAAGCGCCGGCCATGGTGATGGTGTGGGCTGCCATTACAGCCGATGGTCGCTCTACGCTCGTATTAATCGACCGTGGCATCAGAATAAATGTCGAATATTATCGCGAAAATATTCTGGAGAGTGTATTTTGGCCGCAGACCCAACAGGACTCAGCACGCAGCACCAAAGAATGGTTATTTCCAGCGCACAATGGCCACCAAAATCTCCGGATACCAATCAGTTGGACTATTGTGTCTAGAGTATTTTGGAAAGCAAGGTTGGCACTTAAAAATACCAAGTGTCGATCCCCTCAAGCAAGCGCTTCGCCGGGAATGGGCCAAAATACCGCAGAGCAACATTCGGGCAGCGTCTGGCGGTATCATTGGCCGTCTGAAGGCCACAACTCGTGCCAAAAGGTGACCAATTCGAACAAATCTAAACTTATTCTTATATTTGATGCTATTTCCGACATTTTTTGTTTTCATTCAATAAAATTAAAAAAAATGTAAAGATTATGGCGGCTTGGAATATGCTGATGTTTTTTAGATTGAAGTTTCGCAGAAGATGGCTATACCGTTGAAAGATGGGCTGGTGTAAATATCTGCTGCAGAAAAGTTTAAAAACAAACTTTATAAACTTAGTTCATCCTCGAATATCAAAAGTCTAGCCGCAGGAGAGAATTGAAAAGCTTTTATTCCACCTTTGTCTGGACTACTTCCTGGGCCAAATTCTTGGTATTGAATAAGAGAATTTGAACTCAGATGTCTAAATTTAGGCTTAGGAATCCATAAATAAATCCAATAAAATCCAGTTCCAATAAATCAATATTCATTTTGAGAATGTAAAAGTTAAATTTCAATTTATTTCATAAATACATTTTCTTATATGTATATACTAAATATATATCACTTATAAATACATAAATATGCATATGCTTTACGGGTTTTCATTAAAAAAGAAGAAAATAAAACAATACGAAATATTTGCATTTGTTTTTTTGTACGATAGGTAGTTCGTTACTTTTGCACATTAAAATAAAAATATGAATTATGTGTTTGACTTCAAAATACATACAATTTGTCTTAAATAGAGGTAAAGATAAAAAATCTAAAGAAAAGTATTCTATAGAAACCACTATATTTTATTCGAAAAAGGAATTGAAATACTTGCGACAATAGATGATATAGAACGTATATACTGGAGTTCGGATACAGGTGTTGAATGCAAACGAAAGAAAAATTTGTAATTTAAAATCACTAGCAAACTCCAGGACATCCCACAGGGCGAGAAGTTTAGAAAGTATATATGCATTATTATATATTAAAAAAATATATATGACAAAATATTTAAGAACCAAATTGAGGGTAATTATAGCTTAATACCTACATTTATAGAATAGAATATGGAAAATGACATGAGTAGATATGGATAAAATATACATATTAAAATTAAATTGAACTAACAAAAGAATTGTGAAAAGAGAATGGTATGAGATGATGCTAAACAAATCACTTAAATTTTGTTGCAAATCAAATAAATGCTTTCTTTTATTATATATTCATTTCTTATAGGCCTTGAAAATAGATAGTTTTTTTTTTTTTTTTTTTTGAAAATCACAGAATTAATTTTCATGTCGTCTTTGTAACAATTTCCAAACAAATTACAGATAAATTTTGATTTGTGTGCCAAATGGTTTTTGTACAAACAGAAATAGTTTATATATAAATATATTCTTTAAGATAGGAATGCTATTTTTTGGAGGGATTTGCAAACAAATAATATGCAACAATTCGTAGATGATTAGAAATTTAATTTTTTTTACAAAATTTGCTACCATTTGGTTTAATTTCTTCAATTTTCCTTTGTGGCCTTTCCCAGCGGCCTAACTAAAAAAATGTACATTGGTATATTCTCGGTCTCAAATGACCACAAAATCTAAGTGAATTTACTGTTTGTGTAAAGAAGGTGCATGACTGGTCGTCTTAGATTCGCTTTATTTTCATACAAGATTTATCCAAATTTAAGTTTTCTGGGATCCAATAACGTTGCAGCCGTTCCCACCATCGAAGGTGCTGCTGCACCATTGGGATGTGGTGAAATAGTTACGACAGGTGCTATCGAAACATTGACAGGTAACTTTTGCAAAAAGGCGGGACTGAGTAATGCTGCATTTGTGTTTTTATGATGTCTGACATCATCTTCATCATCTGAGATCAATGAAATACTCAAATCACTGGACAATTTCAATGAAATTGGCGCCTGTGGCTGTGTAACAACAGGTGGCGCTTGGACCATGCCTTTCCGCCGTGTTGGTGAGATTTTCTGTTGGCCATCATTGAACTCGGGTATGCCACAGGATGCCAAACCTTCACGTAATTTGGTCAAGGATAGTTCATAGATACGATTTGCAATGACTGTATGAACGGTTGTCTCATCCGGTAACATGGGAAATGGGGGAGGTGGATGTTGTTGTTGATCTGGTGATGACTGTTTTACATTACTGTTAGGACTATTAATCGAGCACGCCAAAGATGTGGTACGAGCGCATGTAGTGGCATTAAGTGAACGTGGTACCAGTGATATTGTTACATCTTCATCAACTTGCATGGAGTTTGATGATAATACTACCGATGTATTGCAGTGTGCAGGTGAAGAGGCAGGAATAGTTGTAGTGGTAGCCGGGAAGGCCGGTTGACAAGGTGATGATTGGTTAGTTGGATATATTACAGCTAAGTCAGGATGTACAGCAATAAATTGTGATTGTTGTGTTAGCAGACCATTTCTTTGTTCGCTATCACTATCATCACTGAGGACAATACTTTCATTGTTGAGTAGAACGGGCAAAGAACGACGCTGTGGTCGTGATTTACGTTTACGGGCTGGCTGTTGTTGCAGCTGCTGCTGTTGTTGTTGTTTTCGTTGATACTGGGGCTGCAGCTGCGTTTGTTGTGCTTGTAATGCCAATAGCTGTGATGGTGGTGGAATTTGCAATGATCTTCTTTGATTTGACAAATGACTTTGTTGCTGTTGTTGGGCTCGATTTATGGTTTGCTTTTGTTTACTCAACGGCACCAAGGGAGGAGGTTCAATTTGGATGGGCCCATTCGACATACGCACCACGGGCATTAAGCCCAGTATGGCTGCCCTTTCCAAGCACATTTTCCCCGCAAAAACATTTTCATGCATTGTCGTTGCTCTTTGCCCTTCTTCCTCATCATCGGACAGCAAATCTATTGTAACTTCAGCTCTTAGAGAATTTAGCTTTTGACGACGTTTATCAGTCTTATTTTTATTGCGAACAGATGATGAAGCCTTTTCGGCTTGCTTAAGGGCCCGGCGAAAGATCTCCACATATTTAGAACGTTTTAGCTTTAAGCGTTTGTTATGACACAAATAATGGGCCGATATGTAAAAGGGATTGGAATGTTTTGGTTCAACTGCCACATGTGATGCTGCAGCCGCCGCTGCTGTTGGTGGTGAAACTACGCCTGCTGCGGTGTTGTGAGGTGGCGGTTGTTGTTGTGGAGCCATACCTCAATATGTTTTTAAGTAAGCTTATTGTGTTTTGTAACTCTATGGTGCTTTTCTCTTTTATGACACACGAAAATTACATTGTTTCAATGCGCAAACCATTCACATTATTTATCACTTTGTTTATTCATGAGAAATCCAAACTGCGTCCTGTTTTGCCTGTCTTTATCAATACAATATTTCACAAGAGCATAAGTGTACGGCGCTCTGCCGCTGTTGTCCGCTCGTTCCTTCCTTCGTTCAGCGAGCACCACTGCAACAACAGCAACCACCACCAAGTACAGTTTTATTTGTTTTTCTTCTGATGTTCATTGCGTTGATTCTTATTCAAACCACCAACTTGCATAATTTCGAGTTCTTTAACACTTTGCTTTGCAATATTCGATAAATTTTGTGGCAAGCTTTTTAAAACAATTGTGTTTATTGTTCTCTGCGTTGTCGTTTTTATGTTTTTTCGCTGTAAAAACTCTTATATTTCTTAAAAAATATGCACTTTTATTAAATCTCTTTTGCACTTTCTTTCGATGTTCGATAGTGAATGTTTATTAGGGATATTTAGGTCGACTATTGGCCTTCGACCCGACAATCGATGGTGCTTTGAAAAACATGAGCCCTACTTACACTTGACAATAATTGCATGTAATATAAATATTTTTGTCGTTAAATCGTCAATTTAAAATTATAGCAGTCTTGCATGAGCATTTACATTTAGCGAAATCTGTCAAGAAATATTAAAGGGTGATTTTTAAAAGCCATACGAGAGATTAAATACAAACATAAAATTCAGAAACGTGCTTGAAATCTTTATTTCAATTAATAGTAGTAAATAAAAAAATAATAAATAAATAAAATATATAAATAAAACCCGTTAACAATTCTGTCAAAATCTTAAAAATATCGAATGTAGTCGTAATATTAGGATATGCTCAGACAATTTTCTGTCATAGGCTGTAGTATCCATTGCGAACTTCAAATACCAAATTTGAAACAATTCCGGTGAATAATGTCGCTAAAATCATCAAAATATCGAATATCGGGGGTACCGCTAAATGGGGGCTATACGAAGAAGTGAACCTGCACACACAATTTTCTGTCATAGGCTGTAGTATTCATTACGAAATTCAAATATCAAATTTTAAACAATTGCGGTGAATAATGTCGCTTAAATCACCAAATAACGAAAATAGGGAGGTACAATTATATGGTGGCTATACCAAAACGTGGACCTACATGGCCCATTTTCCAGGCGATTTCACAAATATCTTGGTTATCTTTGTATCAGCCCTAAACTCTAGCCCCATACTAAAATTCGCGTCGATTGGTCTATACATGTTGCATGTCTATACATGTTGTCCGATCCTCACGATATTTTGCATGGGGGCAAAAGCCACACCTTTCCACAAAATGTCCAAAATGTTCCGATGTAGATTAAATTTATTGATTTTTGGACCTGGACTTTTTTTAAATTCCCCAAAAGTCGAAAAAGGTCCCATTCGTAGATAGGTATATTTATTAGCCCTCAAATTATACTTATATTGACTACATCGGCTTAATAGGTACGGGTCTTGGTCCTGGACTTTCAGATTAAATATACGGGGTAATCAGGTCCGTCCCCAAAAAAATCCCGGTATCAGGATTCAAATACCTACCTCTTTTAAAAAAAATCCCAGAGTTTTGACTAAACTAGAGTTGTTCCGTAGACCTATACAGACAATATTCTACCGTCAGGGGTAGAACCTGTTTCCAACTCTTAATAAACAATTTGGATCAATTTCATGTATAAATAAATAAAAGTCATCAAAATACCGAAGATACCGTTATATGAGAGCTATAAGAAAGCGTGGACCTACAGGGTGAGATAAAAAAATGCAATAATGTCAAACGCCATAACTTTCACATTTTCTTTTTAGAATTTTATTGAATGAAAGCAAAAATTTTCGGAAATAGCTTAAAATTTTAGAAAGAGTTTAGATTTGTTCGAATTGGTCACCTCTAGCACGAATTATGACCTTTAAACGGCCAATGAAACCGTCACACGCTGCCCGAATGTTGCTCTGCGGTATTTTGGCGCATTTCTGGCGAAGCGCTTGCTTGAATTGATCGACACTTTGGTATTTTTTAGTACCAACCTTGCTTTCCAAAATACCCCAGACATAATGGTCCAACGGATTGGTATCCGGAGATTTGGGTGGCCGTTGTGCGCTGGATATGAAGTGAGGAACCTCATTTTGTAACCATTCTTGGGTGACGCGTGCTGAGTGCTATTGGAATGTCCAAGCTCTGCGGCCAAAAAATTTGCGTACCCAAGGCTTTAAAACACCCTCCACAATATTCGCCATTTATTCTGATACCACGGTCGATTAATACAAGCGGAGAGCGACCATCGGCTGTTATGGCCGGCGCTCGAGTTCTGGTGGCCAACCGAAGGTGCCCATTTTCAGCTGACCTTTCGGAAAGTAAACACGATAATTTTGTTATACTCTCCACCATACATAGTATGGAGGGTATATTAAGTTCGTCATTTCATTTGTAACTCATCGAAATAATAATTTTAGACCCAACAAAGTATATCTATTCTTGATCAGCCTAATATTCTAAGACGATTTAGCCCTGTCTGTCGCAATCACGCTACAGTCTAAACGAATTAAGATACGAAGATAAAATTTTGCACAGATCTGTCTTTTGTCTGCAGGCAGGTCAAGTTTGAAGATGGGCTATATAGGTCACGATATTGTATAGCCCCCATATAACGGTACCCCCCGATATTCGGTATTTTGATGATTTTAGACACATTTTCCAGTGGAATTGTACATTTCGCATTTATTGTCCAGATGAAATTTTGCACAAATCATTTGTTTGGCCCAAGGACGAACCCTATTGAAATTGGAGATAATCGGTCAAAATTTAGATATAGCTCCCGTATATATCTTCGTCCGATTTGCCTTTTATTGTGCACCAAACGTGTAATATCAGTCCGAATAGTATGAAATTTTGCACGTATGATCAGAAAATAAGTATGCCAAATTTGATCGAAATCGGTCCAGATATAGCTATAGCTCTCATATATATTGTTCATTCGATTTGTTATTTTTGTCCTCCGCAGCCGTAATATGCACTCTGTAACAATATTATTTGAGGAAATATATCAAATACAGCTCAGAAATACATTTGCTAAATTTTATCGAAATCGGTTCAGATTTGGATATAGCTCCCATATATAACTTCGTCCGATTTACCTTTAATTGTGCACCAAACGTCTAATATCTGCCCGAATGGGCACTTATGACCGAATTGAGTCTGGAAGCTAGTACGTAAAATTTGGTGAAGATCGGTTCAGATATAGCTATAGCTTCCATATATATTGTTCATCCGATTTGTTATTTTTGTCCTCCGCAGCCGTAAAATGCACTCCGTAACAACGATATTCAGGGAAATATAACAAATACAGCTCAGAAATATCTTTGCCGAGTTTTATCGAGATCGTTTCCGATTTGGATATAGCTCCCATATATATTTTTATCCGATTTCAAATTTGTTGTGCACCAAATGGACAATACAAGTCCGAATTTAAAAGATACAAATGCTTCGACATATTTACTTTAAATTATAATCAAATCCTAGCGTGTATGATAGTATTCTCCCATAAAAATTTAAATTAGCAAAGTGGTGTAGGGTATCATAAAGTCGGCCCCGCCCGACTTTAAGACTTTCTTTACTGTTTTATTTTTGGTTTACTTGAAACCCTAAATATTTTGCGCTCACCTCCAAATGCAAGAGGTCCTCTGCATCTCAAAATTTAGACTTATCTATATGATTTGCTTGTCTACGATATTTGGCTGTATTCGTCAGCTAAATCAGCTTAAAATTGCCTGAAGTTCGTCATTTGTGTATTTCGGATATCGCTTGTAAGTAATGATGGTATTTTTTCACACAAAAGTAGAGGTCCATTCTACCCGCTGTCCTAAACTCTAACTTCATGTGAGATTTCGAGTCCTTTGGTTTCTATTTCTAACCCTTATAACGGCGGCAAAATCAGGAACATTTTTAGTTGTTGGTCCATTTCAACCCCTTAATATATTGCGGACATCTTTAAAGACAATAGGCCTAGCCCTTGTGAGCCTAACCCTACCCTTGTAAAAATGTTCGTGAGGATCGGACGATAATTGCAATCTGTACATAATAACTCCAACCTGTGTTGTGAGGTGAAAAAATATTACAAAATATACACTTCAATATTATAGGTCAAATTGAAAAAATCGCATGCGATAAAAAATATGAAAAAATAAAAATATGTTACAAAGTTTTAAATATTATAATAAAATTTAATTAATAATTAAATCTATATTAACATCATTTTTGGCATCTTTTTATGCGATTTTTTTTCGATTTTATACTTCTATGCCTAGAGGGCATTCTGAATGAACAAAATTTGTCAAAATTGATCCAGCCATTCTTGAGATATAAGCATTCTAGCTAACATCCTCTTCCTTTGTATATTTTTCGCTATATATATATATATATATATATATATCCGATATATTTACTATCGGCATCTATGTAACGGTCAGAATTGACCTGTTCGTCTATTTGTGATTTTGCCGGGATTAAGAATATTCGCGGTTTAATGAAAAATTTGACTTTTATTTAAAACAAATGTTGTGGTCTAATTCACCCACTAAATATTACCCGATGGCCATCAAAATTGGAAGGCTTCTGGCCAGCCCTAAGATCTAGCCCCGAGCGTACTTCCGCTTCGGTTGGTCTATAACTGCGACCTGTAGAGCAACTGCAAAATCAGGAAATTTTTCAGTTTTTGGTCCACTTCAACCTAAATATTATGCGATCATCTCCAAAAGCAAGAGGCCTATATTCTGGCCCTAGCCCCACCTCCATGCTAAATTTCATGAAGATCGTGCCATAATTGCGACCTGTAGACTGATTACAAATTAACATGGACAGACGGACGGACGGACATACATAGCCAGATCGACTCAGCTCGTCGATATAAAAAGATCCATATGTACTTTCCTATGTGGAAAACCAATATTTCGAGGTGTTACATAATTTTTGGCCCAATCAAAAATTTTTGACCCCCAACACAAAGTGTTGAAGGGTATAAAAATCATATTGTATATATAATATTTGAATAATATTTACAAAAAATCGTGTAATATTTATTGCTAATAAATAAGATCTACATACTATTTATTCATTGACCTCGAATGGAGACAAAATTTAAAATTCATAATCTTGAGACAAGTAGGAGTATAAAATTATATTTATATATTGCAGACGTAGTAAGTGAAATGTCGTCTACATGCCCACTAAGATACCCACTCACACACAGTTATGCTTCTACGTATATAAACACTTTCTTATATATTATATACGTTGAAGTCCTATTTGCTAGAATGCTAATGTTCCAGGGTGTTGAGAAACTGTTTGATGTTTTGTATTTGTTGTTGTCGGTTCTTTGGAGGATGGTAGTGGTTACACTGCTACAGTAAAATGAATAACAACAACAAAAAGAAGAAGAAATATGGC